GCAGGGAGGGCAGATAGAGATTCCTGCTGCTGCCACTTCTCTGGCCAATAGGTGGGGCCAGACTGATCTTCCAGATGGCCAGGATCCTGTTTCTGCAGAGCAGGGGATATAACCTCCCAGTGGCCAGGTAGTTCTCCCCTTGTGCTTTGCTGTCTCGGGGGCAATTCAAGGCAAAGAGAAGGAAGCATTTCACAGAAAGCAAAATAGACAGTGTTCAGTGAAACTATTTACAGTGATGCCCACAATGATAGATTGCATTGGGGTGGGGTGAGTTTATCTGTCAAGGATTCAGTGGAGGCTGGTTCATCAGGGCAAATGGGGCACTGCCCCCCCCCACAAACTCAATCTGCTCTCAGCCTTCAGTTCAGGTTTGTCAGCCTCCTCCTCCTTAGTCTCATTGTTGCCGTTGTAGAGCTCTGCAGGCAAAACAAGAATTACTTGACTCTGCCTCCACCTATAGTTTGTTTATTTTTATTTAAGGCATTTCTATACCACTTATTATCCGTTAGCATTTCTAAGTGGTGTTGGCCTTTCTGCCTTCCTCCCAACCAGCCACACTAGAAGGGCTATTAACTAGGACAGTAGAAATGGATTCCCCCAGGTTTGAAAGTAGTTTGCCTTTTATTCTTAGACAAACAGGAAATGGCCTTCAGATTCATATCAGGCTTGTGAGCCTCCTTGGTGAATTATCGTAAGCAGAACTCTGGGATTAGTTGGCTCTTTGGTTCCTGTTGTCTCGTGGCCCCCTGCTGCTTATTGTGAAGTACAGCACACAAGAAACTACAGGCGGCATGAGCCTTGGGAGGCTGTTTAAACAGAGGGGTCAGGAGCTACTTTCACACCACAGCCTTAGTCTTCACTGTGTAACATCTGTTGCATCTTAGTTTACTCAAATCCACAGCATTGGTCCTCACCTGTGTTACCCAGACAGGAAACAGAGAGTCTCGAGATGGTCCCAGCTTCCTTTTAATCCCTCATTCTGTTGCCTTGACAGAAGGATGCTGGCCCAAAGTTCAGCAGGAACTTTGGCAACATGGGATTTTTCCAACCACCTCCACAGGATTTGGAGCAGGACACCCAGATCCTTATTGACCTCAGCAAGCAGGATGCTCAGCAGAAGCACAAAGCCTCCTTGAATGCCCTGACTCGTCTTCAGGAACTTGACCTGACAGCCTGCACGAAACTCACAGATGCAAGCATAGCTAAGGTTTGGACACTGCAGCTTGCAAATACAGACAGCTATGGGGAGACCATTGCTTAGTGGCAGAGTAGGTGCTTTGTTAGATGGGACACATGATCCGGCCATAGACAAATTCCTATGAACCAGAGTGTTCTTGCAAAAGAAACCATCTACAGCCTTGGCTTCAGGGTAGCAGGAGTACCACCATAAGAACGTCAAAAGCCGCCTTACTCAAGAGTCAGACCATTTGTCCCTCTTGGTGAGTGTGGGGTGGGGAACTGGTGGTTCTTCAGATGTTCTTGGGCTGCCATCAGCTCCAGCCAGCACACCATTTGGAGGGCCACAGGTTCCCATCCCTGGTTCCACACTGACTGGCAGCAGCTCTCCCAAGATTTCAGGCATGAGTCTTTCCCATCTCGAGAGTCTTTCTTATCTGACATAAGATTGTCAATGATTGCATCTGGGACCTTTGGAATGCAAAACAGATGCCCTAGTACTACTGAGCTGTGTGCCCTGCCCTTTCAGTGGCACCTGTTCAAATTAAACATCTATGGAGCACCAACAGTACAGGCCATGGGAGGGATGTAATGCTTCCAGGTAGACTGACGTTAGGCAAGCAAGAGCAGAATGTGTGGGTAGTGAGACGTCAGTGAGTAGAGGGACCGGCCACACAACCATGGAGAGAATGAGAGGCTTTAGAGAAGAGGCTTTAGAAAAGTGGGTCACGGAGGAAGAGGAAGTGGTTTGATACACAGATGGAGAGAAACTTGTCAAGGCATAAAAAAAGTGGGAGGATTAAACGGGTTGGCAACAGGTCACGTTCTGCAGAAAATCCAAAAAGGAATGCAAGGAACGTCACAGGGTATGTAATCAGTTTGGCTGGAGGGAGAGCTTTAAAGTTCAAGCTCCTACTTCCTTCTTTTATATGAGACCTGACCAAGCTACCCAAAACTCCCTGCCCATTAAAAACTAGCGTGTCAGGGAGAACAGTTCCAAGCAGTCGTCATCTTTCTGATGTGGTTGTTTTCTACACATAGAAAGGCTTTGACCTGGGAGAGCATTTGTACACATGTGGTACCCATCCGCAACTGCACTTTGAAGCGGTACACTCCAAGAAGCCTGCAACTCGCTATCTTTCTAAGCATCTTGTTCAGCCCCCAGAATGGCTCTGAAAGAAGTTCTCTTCCTCGGTTGCTACACACTGCAGTCCCCATGTTCACTTTCTTGGTGTGGAGCTCCACCCTGAATGGCTTTGGGCATGGCCAATGGCAGAGCAAAAGCTTTTACAGCCATTGGGCAAGGATGCTCTTTTGGGCACCCTTCATCACAGTGCCCAGGCAGGGCACCCAACTTCCTGTCCTTGTTCTGTTATTCCTCCTCAGGTCATCAGCTTTCCCGAGCTGCAGCGCCTGTCCCTCAGCCTTGTGACCAACATCACAGACACCAGCCTCACAGCCATCGCTCAAAACTGCCAGAGCTTGGAGCACCTCACGCTAAGTCACTGCACAAACCTTACCGACAAAGGTTTCATGGAAGCAGCTGGCTCCCTGCACCGACTTCAGCATCTCATCCTTTCTGGTTGCAACCAGCTGACTCCCAGGTGAGTAGAGCTGCAGAGTGCAAAGATCACTGGCAGGTGGAGAGGAGAGGTAAAGGCAAGCCAGAGGCAGGCCTTTGAAAGTTCCTTCAAGGCATGGCTGGCTGACTGGGAGGGACTGAAAGAGAGGCAGAGACCATCAACAACTGGTGAACTCTCCCTTGCAGGACATTGAAGGCCATTGGGCAGGAGTGCCAGCAACTGAAGAGCTTGGACGTCTCCATGTGCAGCAAGATCAGCATGACAGATGTTGAGCATTTCCAGTCGCAACTCCCGCTGCAGAGTCAGACTAGCATCCAGTCACGGTTTGTGGGTGGAGCAGACCTTTCCATCACTCTCTGATGGAAACTTTGTAGGTTGAGTTCCCAGAGATAAATGGCGGTCAAGCTGGCTCTCCCTCCCCACGCTGCCTCAATGGCAATAGGGGACTTGTCTTGGGAAACAGTTCCTGTCTTGGTAGTTCCACTGGCCTACTGTTAAATGCAGCTGCGCCACTGCCACTGAGTGGGTCCCTAAAATGGACCGATTCTTCCTATAGAGGGGGCATCCTCACCCAAGCCTGCCTCAATGGAGGAGCTGGCTGTTGCGCAAGCCTCCCATCACCCCCATTCCGCAAGCAGAATGGGGAAGTGCACCTTGGGCTTTGGGAGGGATTGCCTTGGAGCACAGCAGATCCCACGCTAGCAGGAACAGTAACCAGCAGCCATAAGGCAAGACGGTAATGGCTGCTGATGTAATCTTTGGCACAGCCAGTGCCAAGCACTTAATTTGCACCCCTGCTTTCAGCAGCTGCAACATCCCTGTCAGTGAAAGGGATTTTTAAAAAATCAGCTGGAAAATTGCATCTAGGGAGACTTCTTCTTTCTGGGTCCCCCTGGTACACAGCTGCTAGTTTTAGAGGTACACATGGAGACAGTGGGAGGTCACTCCCACAAAAGCAGTCCATGGCATATTCAGGCACCAAAACTTTTCCTCTTGTGCATTCCTGCAAACAATATAAAGGTGAGAAAGCCACTGCCCTGCCAGCCTCCCACTCATCTTTTCGAAAAATGCACTATGCTTATGCAACAGGGTTTTCCATAAACATCACCAAAGCCACTGCACTAATAAAGGACTTTAGTATCTGTTTTACATACTTTGGATTTTAAATGAATGGAGACGGCAGCCTGTAAAACTTTGACTTGCCCTCCTTGACTGAGACGGAGAAGGAAGAAGCTGCCAAGACAGTGCCACCCCCTGGACTGACTGCAGGTAGGAAAGCAGGCAGGCAGGGGCTCACAGAGGTCAAACTCAGTTTGGTGGGTCATTTGCTCTAATGGATCAATCTCCATTGCCAGCACACAGTTTAGGAACTATAATGGCACTGGGTTCCAATCAGGACTCTAAAACCTATTGGGTGCTCCTTTTAATAGGCTGCACCTCCAGCTAAGCGTTGTATGACAATGCTCTGCAATACAGTCACACACACCTTGCCCACAAGGCATTTCCTGCACCTCCACAGTGATCAAAGCTGTTCTCTGTTCTACACATGTGCAAGTGTTGAATAACCTATTTTTGAAAGATTTAAATCTAGGCCCTCTGACCTCTTGAAAACCACTTCATTCTTTCGTGCAGACAGCCACGGCTGCAGTTTCCTTTCAGGGCCGAGCCCTCCTATTTTGAGCTTCAGAGACTGTGAGCCCCAAACCAGAGAAAGCTAAGGCACGCTCATGGCTCATCCCAGTTAGAGCCCTACTGGGCTCTGGCTGCTGCCCAGGGATGCCACCATACTGATACCAGGCCTGAAGAGAACCCACAACCAGGCCCACCATAAGGCAGCTGCATAATGTTCACTTACTTCCACGTACGCCATTAGGCTTCTCATGCAGGGGTTCCTCTGCAGAGTACTTCAAAAAAGCAGCTGCTGGTGTGGCCTGAAGAGTGCAGCTCACTTGCTTTAAAAGGGAGACAGGGAATCTATGGTCCTCTAGATGTTGCTGGACTGCAGGTCTCATAATCCCTGACCATGGGCCATAATAGCTGGGGCTGATGGGAGCTGGAGTCCAACAACAACATGAGGGCCACAGGTTGGGCCATCCGTTCACTGGGCTTTTTAAAATCCCAGTCACATCAAGAGGAACCGCCTGCTTTCACAATGGCAAGCAGAGAAACCGATTCCTCTGGTTTGTGCACAGTCATTGCAAAGCTTCAACCACTCACAGCAGTTACCAAAAAAAAACTCCATAAAGATAATTCCCTTTATTATTAATAATAATATTAAGGCCTCTGTGCCAGAGGCAGTACCACAGTGAACATGTTACAGTAGAAGCACCTGAGCAGGAAGGAATTCAAGGAGTCTGGGAAGTCCTTTACAGGAGATACTGAAGGTGGAAATGTTTCCTATGATAGTGGGCAGCTACAGTGCTGCAAGATTGATGAATAACACAGAGAGGTAAGGGGGTAGGAGGCTAGGAAATAGCCGCTCCAGTGCAATTGGACTCAGTGTTTCTAAAGAGGCATAGTGCTGTGAAAATACGTGTGTGTGTGTGTTACATCTAGAAAATTTCACAAGAAAACCAAAATCACATTTACTTACAAAATGACTTAACAGAAGAACAAAGGAATTGGCTGCCCATGGGAATGCCACCTGAGTGTCAGCTTCCTGGCCTTAGCCAACCTGTGGGGAAACTTTGGCTCTCCACATGTTGCTGAACTACAACTTCCCATCATCCCTGCCATTGGCGATGAATGCTGGGGCTCATGGGATATGTAGTTCAGCAACATCTGGAGGGCCAAAATTTCCTCACCATGGGACTTTAGTGTCTGCATAGGTATCTCCCTTTACCCCACCGCCGCTGGGAGGCTAGCAAAAGAAAAAGAAAGAAAAAAGTATGTGGAATGGTAAGAAGTGCAAAATAAGAAGTTACTTAAAGCTGCTTAATTTGCATGATTGACATTGGCCATTGAATCCATCTTTTGTCAGTGCATAATTGAGGGAGATAGTTCAAAAGAAACAGATACACACACACCCCTGGCTTAACAAGTACCATGTCACATCCTGAAAATATTTTCAAGAAAACTTTGGATGCATTTTAAGAGCTTTTCTCTGAAGTAGGCACTGATTCAGGAGCCTATGAAGAAAGGAAGCATTCTGGAAAGAGGGGATAAAGAAAAGAAACACCTCTCTCCATATGTTCCTCCCTTGCTACAGCTATGGGGAAAGGTCCCTGAAAAGATAGTTATGCTACAGATTTAGGCAGAGTGCCTCACCCTGTCACAGCTCTCCTGTTGCTCAGGCAGGTGACAAAACATACCTGATGCTGTTCTCATAGAGCAAGGGAGCCAGTTTTGTAAAGTGCTTGTTTCTGCCTTTCAGAATGTGGCAAAGAGAGATCCCGTAGGCAGTATTTAGCTAAACAGAACTAGGAAAGAGGTGGCATTGCCACTCTCTCTGTGGAAAGAGTCAAAGTTTCTTAAGGTGGGAGATCTATTTATGTATTCCTCGGAAAAGCGAAGGAGGGGAGGACTTTGTCATCCCCCGATCATATTTCCCCAACTCCTTTAATTTTGCATAATATAGGTCATCTGCATAATTGAGGCAACCTCACTGTATAGCAAGGCTAAATGTGAAATACAATCCATTGGTAAAGCAGCAGTTTTGCTGACAGAATCAACGTCTGTGCGGTGGATTATCATCACATGGGAAAGTCTAAAATAGGATATCTAAAAATACAACCCAGGATCCACAAAAGGCAAGCCTCTCTCTTCTTTCTTTTAAAGCAACTTTCTAGCACTCATTGTTGCAGGTGTTGGCTATAAAGACAAGAGAGCCCCGTGGGTGGGAATCAGTGGCTCATCTCCGTTTCCCTTTCATAGTGTTCAGTTTTCGATCTTTAAGACCTGTTTCGTCCTCCAATACATTCCCAAGTCCCTGGCAAAACAACCTGGAGGAAATTATTCAAAATTCTGAGAGGTCTCAAATGCTGAAGCTGGAAGAAAGCAAGTTAGGTCAGGTTTATATACGTACACATATATCTGCAAATGTGTCTATTGGGTTTTTTAAACTCAGAATTAAGATTCTAGATACATGGGCTTAGTTTGGAGGATTGAGAACATGCCGCAGACTGGCACACTCTTTCTCCCTTGCTTGTGATAATGTTGATTCATTGCAATTTGGTTTGCTATGATAACTGAATAAGGCAATCTGTGGGTCAGCACTACTCTCCAAACAAAATTATTTGAAACTGTCGCTCAAATGTGACTTACCAGCTAGCACTAAGCTTAGTGTGTGTGTTTTTCAGTTTCAGCATCATGGGAAACAATGGTTACAGCAAACATGACATGGGGAAGTGAACTGGTACCTAAGCAAGGGTTGGGGGGAGGGGAAATCTGCCACGTGTTCCTGATCTGGTTTGGAGGATCATCCAAAATGAGCCAGCGGCTATGAGAAGCAGAGCATGCTAGGAAGAGGTAGCCTTTACTGTTCTATATGGGTGAAATCATAGCAGAAGTTTAAGTTGCTGGGGGGCTTTGGGATGGCTGGTGGAGCATCTGGGATGGGGATGTTCTCCAGATCCAGCAACCGCAGTTTGAGCTCCATAGACAGCAAGATGTCCAGGTCGCTCTGCGTCCGTTCGCTCGCCATCTCTCGGCCCAGGAGCACGTTCAACCCATCGGTCCATAAGCAGAACTGAAGAACAAGGAAAAGGGGGTTTGCTCGTCCCATCATCCATTAACTCCTAAGCTCCAGCCTGTGTGCTGAAGGAGGGGTTCACACAAGCACTTTCTGACAGGAAGCTGGTGTGATCCAGCAGAGCACTAATATTCTCACTGTGCTATTTTCACGTTGCTGCAAAAGGGCAAAGCAAGGATCAGAGGGTTGTAGCCAATGCTAGCCCTTCTCAGAGTAAACCCATGGGTATGACTGGCTTAGGTTCATTCACTTTAATGGGCATACTCTGAGTAAAGCTTAGTTGGAGACAACCCACTGAGTTAACGGATATGTTTAACACACCGTAGACCACTTCAGAATTCGTGCTGGGTCTGACTGCTAGAGTACTACTGCTGTCCCTTCTTTGTGCCTAAGCATTCCCTCTCTTTCCAATTGTTCAGGTGTGCCTGCCATTGCTTTTGTAGCCAAAACAACACCCTCCTTGCAGCAGGCATGGGGGAATCCCCAAAGTTTGCATGAGTACACAAAGCCTTTGGGGGGGGCTCAAGTGGAGAGAAACCCCCAAACAGCCTGTTGAGGACTGAGTAGCCACTTAAGGGGAGAAGGGTCCTAGCTGAGTGGTAGAGCACCACCTTGCACGCAGAAGGTCCTCGGTTCAATCCCCAGCATCTCCAGGTAAGGCTGGGAGAAGACGCTGCCTGAAATCCAGGAGAGCCAATGCCAGCCAGTAGACAATAATAAGCTAGATGGCTCAGTACAAGGCAACTTCCTATGTTCCTATGAGGATGCTGCACAGCTACAAAATGCTGTCCGGCTGTCATGGAGAAGAGCTGGGTAGATGGGAGTGGAAGTGGAAAGGGAGATTGCATAGAGCACGGCTGAGGGGAACTGTGAACAAGAGCACTTCATACATCAGCATGTTCTTGCAGGTTCCACTTGAGCCCTGCTCTATTGCAGAGAGAGACAAATACTCCATTCTGTTAAGATACAGGAGATCCTCTGCAGCACGTAGCTACTCACCTCATAGCGCGTAGGAGCAATGAAATTCAAATGTTCCCCAACATCATAGCTGATGGAAAAGGCAAGGTCTAGGAGATCCTGCAGGGAGGAAAGTGGGAAGAGATGCCAGGCGTTTTCAGTGATGCGGTTCCATCAGACCTTGGGGCAGAAGTCCAGGTCCCCACTCAGCAGAATTACTTACTAAATTTCTATTCTGGCCTTCCAACCAAAGGAGCCCAAGACATCAAACTTCAAAAAGTTAACACAATGCAGTTTTAAAAGTTAAAATAAAAACAACTTTAAAACATTTCAAAACAATTTGAAAACCATCAGAAACATTTTTCTGCCTATTGTAGCAACTATAATGCACTATGCTAGATGCTGTATGCTTCTTCAATGTATTGTTACTGCTTTTTTTATTTTATTATATTACAATTTGAACTCCATTAAAAATTCAATATGAGTATTTAGTGCTAACAGGCCTGAATGAAGCTGGTGAATGAAGCTGGTGGAGCACTGATGCTTTTCTGTTCAGGTCCTGCTTGTGGGTTTGCCACAGGCATCTGGCTGGCCACTGTGAGAACAGGATGCTGGACTAGATGGGTCACTGGCCTGATCCAGCAGGACTCTTAAGTAACAGTAGGGAGGATAAGGTAGCTTGCATACATGTGCACAGTGAGAGGGGAAGAAGAACAGAATGCAAACTGACCTTGTTCTGTTTGCCAGAGCTCTTCTCCTTGGTTTGTGGGCATTCCCGGCCAGTAAGCAATGCTTTCATATCTGCCACAGGAACTTTGGGCAAAGAAGCACACACAGATTAATACACCACCAGGCAACAAGGACAGATGTGCAGAGCTCAAACCAGGAGAACCACAGGATTCGGGAGCAGGGATAAGAATGTGCCCAATCCATACCCTCCCACATGAGTTTCTTCAAGCCAAGGGTGCAGCAGTGGTTGGTGCTCCAGTCGTCGTTGAACTCCAATTCCCATCAGCTCCAGCCAGCATGGCCAGGAATGATAGGAACTGGAGTCCAGCCACATTTGGAGAGCCACAAGTCCCCCACCCCTGGTTTGCAGGCACCTGGATGAGCACTTGGGGAGGATGCTTGACTAGATGGATCTTGGCAGGATGTCCTTGACCAGATGCCCCAAGGGAAGACTTGTTCCTCCTCTGCGAGGGTGGCAGCCTCTCCTTCCACCTCCAGGAGGGCTGCTTTTATATAATCCTTTAAGATCAACCTCGATGAGACCCTGCGTATGGGCCCACCATCAAGATGTATTAGGTTGATGGGCACTTTCAGATGAATGAACTATCATCTCACCCCTTATATAGTCAATTGAGCACTGTGCTCTGCAGGTGAGGTCCTCCTGCAGTTGCCATCTGATCAGGGAGTCTATGCCACACAATATAGGAATCGGACCTTTAGTGTTGTATCACCTGCCCTTTGGAATTCCTCCCACCTTTGAATATTAGACAGGAATCTACTGAAGACCTCGTTCAACCAGGCTTTTAAGTTGAGATGTTTCCTAGCCTGCATCTGTATTGGAATTGTTTTTATGATGTTTTTATCTCTTCATGTTTGCTGCCCTTTGGTAGCAAGGGCAGGATATAAATGGAAGGAAGGAAGGAAGGAAGGAAGGAAGGAAGGAAGGAAGGAAGGAAGGAAGGAAGGGTCAAAGGGTCTTTTCAGTGGTGGCCCCATATTTCTGAGATACCCACTTTAGGGATTCTCGGTTCTCATTCTTGCTTTGGTGGCTTCCCACCTTTGGTCTTGTGATGGCACAACAAAGGAAGCAAAGCAGCCTTGGAAGCCATAGTGGGAGCAGGCATATTGAAGGTCAGATGCGACGCACGGGACAGGTCTGCATACCTTTCTCTGGCAGGCTCTCAATTGGCAGACTTTCTATGCCCTCTTCAACATCTCCGTAGTGCAGAAATTTGTGGTTGGGAGAAAGGCGGCAGAACCAGAGCTTATCTAGCAAAGAGAAAACAAGTCACAGCATGGAGATTATGGCTGCAAGAGCCCTTCCTGCAATAGATCCAGTATGAGCCCCTTGCCTTCCAACTTCCTGACTCACTTGTTTCCTAGTAGACTCCTCTCCCATCAGAAGCCCAAGAAATGCAAGCTCCAGCTACCCTTGCAATCCCTCAGTGGAGAACATGGCCTCCAGCCACTTACCCTGTCTCCGCCGGCTGCTAATTTTGCGGAAGAGCGTCCCTTCGCAGAGGTGGAGGAGTCTCTGCTGTTGGATCAGCTTGAGAAGCTCAGGTTTCAGGCGCTCTCTCAATTCCCTGGGACAAAGTACAGTGGAAGGAAGAGTAACACTGCCTAATATCTCAAGGCCCCATGACCTTTCAACAGTCCTCCAGCCTCATCCCTACTGCTGGAATGAGAACATTCTCTCTGTTCTGACATTCCCAGATAGCAGAACATCCTCCCATTCTGTTCCAGCACTGAACTGCAGGCAAAGCAGATCTCTCCCATTGAGCTATGGCCCTTCCCCTAGAGGCTGATAGGAGTTGTTGGACTACAACTCCCATCAGCCCCCACTAGCACAGCCAATGGTTAAGGATGGTGAGAATTGTGGTCCACAACATCTGGAGAGTCACAGTTTCTCCACCCTTTGATTTAGGGCTGTAAGAATTAGAATCACAAAGCCTGTAAGCCACATAGTCCAACATCCCTCTTGAGCAGGAAATCCAAAGCTAGAGCAGAGATTGATACCTTGAGGTATCTCTTCAGGCACCAGATATACTAAAAGTATTGATACAAGGCACAAACATATAGCAAAGCCTCCTTACTCACAGGACGGGCGCAGCTAGGATCTCCTCCTGGTGCATCCGCTCCGTCTGCCGAAGACGCAGGATCTCGCTGTAGTTTAGGCTATTCACTCGACTCTTGAAGAGCTCCAGCGAAGTGGGCCTTAGGGTGAGGATTCTGGTGATCTGCTCCCGAACCACCTGCATCACCTGCAGGGCCAGAGATTCATGCAATGGGTAAACAAATGGATATGATGCCCTATCCCCATCACCACCAAATTCCTCTCTCCCCTAAACTCTTGAAAGCCCCCTCAAGCATGTTCATACAGCAAGTGCTCAAATTACAAAAGAAAGGCTGGGGGAGACGTAAACAGAATGAAGACACACTTTTGTTCCCCGACTCCCATCTAGTTTGCGACAAAAATCATGTCAAATGTATCGATGTGCACAGCTGCTGTGGCATTGTGAGCAGCTTTCAGCACATTTATGTGGAAAAGCAGCATACAAATTGAAATAAATGAATAGTAGCCATCTAACAACTATAGATATGGAAGCCAGCCCCTCTCTGGCCTCCATGTAAGCACAGCACAGGATGGAGTATTTCAATTCAGTATCCAATAGCTCAAGACCAATATTTTGTCCTGGTTAACAGTCACCTATGAAAACTAAAACTGGAAATTTTTTTAATGGGATTTTAAAATTTAGGTATGTATCTGGTACAGCAGGATATACTTAATTCATTTTTTGTTGTTGTTTGGTCAATTACTGGATTTTATGTAAGATTTAAAAAATGGTATTCTAGTTCAATTAGTTTTGGTTTTCATCTTATTTATCATACAGTGCCAATGGGTATGCGTGGGACTGACGATGAAGCTTATTGGGTGACAGCAAGCCAGTTGCTCTCTATCAACCTAACTTGCCTCATAGAGTTGTTGTGAGGAAGATAAAATGGGTACATGGGAGAATAAAATGGGTATTCACCTATACATATCAATTAGCACATGCACATTTGCATCCTGAGCCTGTGCCCCAAAGTCCCTGCTTCTAGGCCTCACCTTGTCAAAGTCTTCCTGTGTCGCACGCATCTCCTTCCAGGTCTTGTTCAACAGCTGGATGCAGATGCAGAAGAGTTCCTCAAAAAAGCTTTCTTGGCCGAAAAACATGGGATAGAAGGCCTGGGCTGTCTCAGAGCCTGTCATAAAAGAGAAACACAATCTCTGGGTCTGTTTTTTTAAATCATCTCCTCCTCTCTCCTTTCTGCTCCTCCAAATTCGATAACCATCCAAGAACTTCCATGGAGGGCTTCTCTCCCCATAATACCATCTTCCCATTTCTCTCAGAGGTCTCACAGAACAGGATGTGAGTGTCCTAAAGCAGAGCTTTCCTTTTCATGTTGGTGACACACTTTTTAGACCATGCATCATTTCGTGATACAGTAATTCAGTTTTACTAACAAACTGGAGATTGAACTAACCCCTTTCCAGCCCTGGAAGGAGCACGGGAAGCACATACACTGCAGCTGACACACTAACATGTTGCAACACACAGTTTGGAAAGCTCTGTCATAAAGCATGGGTGGAGAGCCTGGTGCTCTCCAGATACTGCTGAACTCCAACTCCCATCAGCCCTCGCCAGTGTGGCCCAATGGTCAGGGATGATAGGAGCTGGAGTCTGACAACATCTGAAAGGCCAGAGGTTCCTCACTGCTTCCCTAAGGGCTGTGGGGGGTAGGGGAGGAGAGCTCCCTCTGTCTTCCCAGAGCACCATATTTTTAAAATGCCTACGCTCATTCTCTACAGCTGGACACCACCATAAATTCCTTTTCCATCCAGGGGGACTTGTTGGTTACAGCTATGCAACTTGGTTCCCCCTCCCATTTTTTAGGCCTTGATTGTTCCTTTTGTTGTTTCCTTCTCAGATCTTCCACAGCACATGTGGGGGTGGTGGGTGGCAGACTTTAGACTTGTGGGATCTACTTTGTTTTTTTACTGTAACTCTAGGATCCACCAACCAGAACCAGGGCAAAATACTGTCTCAGGTTGGTGGACATAGGCTAAGAACTAAGGAACAGGACACACCTCCAAGCCCAGAAATATGTGACTAGAACCAGAACCACACTCACACATTCTTCCACACAAATTCACTCCTTTTTCCCACACCATATTCTTTTTCAGCAATCTAGTTTAGGAAGAGAAAGCACTTTATAAAGGGCTGTTAGACAACTGCGAATCAAAAAGCCTTGCCAATTTGCCACAAAATGCTCCAAATACTACACGTAGACACCAGTCTACCTCCTGTCTATGGTACCAGCCCTACAGCAGTGGAGAAACATTTTCCTATGGAAAGCTGTGAATGCACTGGAACTGGGAGAAAGAAACCTCACTACCAGCCCTGCCGGCTCATAAAGAAGGCCTCAATGCAGTGTGTGAATGCCGGCAGAGGGACCAGAGTCACAAGGCATCCGGGGTTCAGAGAGAGAAGGGAAGTACTAATACTCACAAGGCTCCCCCACATGAAGGATCTCACAGAGCATGAAGCAGAGCTGGATGCTGCTCCGGGCAAATGGGCACTCGTGTTTATCTTCTCGGCTGCTGTTCTCAAGAATGAACTGAGAGGAAAAGGGAAATGTCACAACCTCCTCAGGCCTGCAAGAGTCTGAAAAGCAAGCTCAGGGAGGCAGTATTATATATTATATATTTATATTATATTATATTATATTATATTATATTATATTATATTATATTAATATTAATATTAATATTATATTAATATTATATTATTATATTAATTAGTTGGAGAACAGTGTCATGAAATTCAGAGAAGTGCAAATTTGGAAGGATAGCTGCACTTCAGTTTGCCTATTGTTTTAGAAAGTGCAAATCAGGTATGTTTCTGTTAAGTTCTGAACCAAACTGGATTTATTCCCCATCAAAGAGGAAAGCCCACCAAAGGGACACTCTGCCCAGGGTGGGGGCACCTCAATTCTGGAGCCAGCCCCATCCCAAGCACATGGCTGCTACTGATTCCTGAAGTTCTGCTATAAGTTAGGGGGGCAGGGGAGGAAAGGACCAGCGTCACAAAGCAAACATGCTCTTCCATTACCCTGCTGTAGGCACTTGGGAAGTGTCTGGAGAAATAGACCATGCTGTCTAGAGCAAGGAGCCCTGGAGGGCTGCGCTGCAAATCCAGGGCAGGGTTAGTGTTATTCTGAAAAAGAAAGACATAACGCAATATTAGGGCTGCTTAGATTGGTGAGGGAGGAGGGGAGGCACACACAAAACAACACAAAAGACACAATAAAGAGGTAGTGTCTCAAAATGCTGAGGGGCAGAGGGCTCTCCTTCACTGCCAGGCCCTGACAAGCTGCCTTAGAGATGAGTAGCAGTACTACAAGTCTGGCTGGGCCTAGCCACCATGGCAGAAAATAAAATGCCGGCATGACCCAGCTGCCCAGGGTTGTCTGAAGAGCTGGGCCAAATATTTATTAAAGCAGGAGAGCAATGCAGGTGTCAGCAGTCCCAGCCAAGGTGGAAGCCAAGAAGGTGTCTGAAGAGTCTGATGAAGACATGAAATTTGGTCTCTTTGACTGGCTTGCTGGGTCAGCGGTGGGCCCTGCTTTGGTTCTGGAACCCTGGCACCTGTTAGGTGCCGACACAGGCGATGCCACCCTCTCAACAAAACTTGCCCTGTGGGTACTTTGAATACTTGCTGTGCTCTCTTCTTGTGGCATATAATCTATACCGGGCATAGAGGCCCAATGTGACCCTCTGGGCCTCTCTGTCAGGACATCTGAACTGTCACCCATCACCCAGGCCACAGCCCTTCCCTGGCCCTCCTTCAGCCCTTTTGCCAAGCTGAAATGTGTTTCTGAACTGTGACAATGCCTCCTGCTTGCCTCAAAGGAGTGTCTAGAAACCTCTGGTTTCTGCAAAGCTGGCATGTAGTCAGCTGTCCTGAAGTAAGAGCCACAGCTGTTTCCCCCCTGTACATATTTGCCTCTGGCCCCGTCAACCCCTGGCATGAGGCCCCCAGAAGGTTCCCCACGAGGGAATGCGCCCCCCGAAAGGAAAAGGGTCCTCCACCCCAGTCTATGAGGAACTTACCACAAAGCCCAGCTTCCGGAACTCCTTGGCACAAAGGGAGTGCCGGCGCTCAGTGTTAGAGCTGCTGGCGTAGGATTCGTTCTCGGAGACAAAGGCCGCATGGCGCAGGGACTGCAGGAGCTCCCTCTGATCCTGCACAGAGAATATCAGCAGGGTTTGCCTTATGAGCTGGAGAGGCTGGGGAATGAGCCTGGCAACTTCTGCAAGCTTGCATTTAAACACTGGCCTGGCAGGCATAGGTGACAAGGTGACAGAGGCATACAGGAGAACAGAGCTCTCCACCCCTTCTCAGCCAGCCCCCAAAAGGGTTACAATTTCTGTGGGGCTTATTTACAAGGTGCTAAAACTCCACTCCACTGAGAGTTGAACTGTTTGTGTGACAATGAAGGTTTAGTTCTGCTGTGGAACAGTTTTTCCCTCCCACAAATTTCCAATCTGGGGTGGGCGTGGGGGGTGGGGGAGGTGGCTAGTGGGAAGGTGCTGGAGTGCTGATCCAGGTTTGCACAACAAGCATGTTTTCAGCAGGCAACAAAATAGAACTGACAGATTTCAACAGGAAGAGTGTTCCAAAGTTCTGGGGTTGCTAAGCTAAAAGTCATGGAAAAGGCATGGAAAACTAAACTAAATACGTGGTAACTGTGGGGACCAGTCAGGAGGGCTACTCCAGATGATCGCAGCAATCTGGGACCAATGATCCTAGGCCATCAAACTTTGGGGCAATACAATGAAGTTGAGAGGCAAGCCACGAAAGTGGGGAAAAGGGAGCAGACCTGTAAATAGGGGTCCATCGGGGTCCTCATCTTCTGCTCCAGAAGGTTCAGCGTGAGAGACTGCAGTACATAGAGGTAGTGGGCCATCTCATCCCCAATGGGCTCAGAGGCATGGATGATGTTCTAAGGACGGAGAACAGCAGAGTCACCTGCATTGTCCACCTCCCTCCCTCCCACCTCCACCCCTTATCCCCTGATGCAATATTCCAACTCCTTACAGCAGAGCTCAGTGGGGACAAGGGGTACCATCCACCAAGGCGAAATGGGCAGAAGAGAAGCCACAGAAGAAGGGGAGAAAGCTAGAGTGAGGACCCAGAGAAATCAGGCCAGTCAGTCAAAATGTAAGAGCAGGGATGGGAAGCCTCAGGCCTAGGGGCCTCTCTATCCAGCCCTTAGGACTCTCCCGGGCTTTCCCAGCTGCACCATCACAGGCCCAGCTCCTAACCCTCCTTATCTGGCTGAACTATGTCTTCAAGCTCTTGCTTGCCTGGGGGGGGGGGGCTAGAGAGAGGTGTGCATAGAAAGCAGCCTGTTGTACAAAGGTAACAATTCCTGTTCCTTGCCCCACCCACTTTTGCCTCTGGCCCTGCCCACCACTGGCACGCGGCCCCTGGGAGGTTGCAGCCCTCAGGCCAAAAAAGCTTCTCCATCCCCGTGCCTGAGAAGTGGGCACACAGGTGAGAAAGCACAACGCTTACGACGAGGAAATCTATGCCACACACCCCACCGCAGGCCACTTGCATGCTTTCACCTTGTGGATAAATTGCCGGAGGTTCTTCCTCCCCAGATACTCCATCATGCCCTGGAAGGAGAAAGGAGTCAGGGAGTCAGCCCCGAAACAAACCAGGTCCCCAGCACATCTGTGTAAGCATCCAAGTTCCAGTTTCTTGCATCAGGTGGCAAAGTTCCCCACCCACAGACTACTTGGCACCCTTGTCAATTCACAAGCTCCCCATGCATGCCCTAAGCAGGCTGCAGGACAAGGGTGGTGACTCATGGCCTGCTAGCCCTCTGCCAAGACCAGGCACCTCTTTGCTCTCCAGCCTGACACCAATGCAAAGAGATTCAAAGAGGCTCAGGAAAGGAGGAGTTCTCTTTCCTGAACCTTGGAGACCTTCTTGAAATAGTGCTGCACCAAAGGAAGAGGCCCTTTCCTCTCTTTTTTTCCATCTAACACCCGTGCTGGGCTAAGAAGAGAGGCCCCTTTCCTCCAAGACCAGTGATGCCACAGGGAAGTAAAATGATGTGGAAGGTAACACCGCCCCCCACTCTCTGCTGATCAGCAAAAGAACAACGGGCTGTCTCTGCCTGTCGGAAGGTCTGTGTGCATCTACTGTATGTATGGAAAGTAGCATGTTTGTTGTGTGTATGTATGCACAGATGAACAAATACAGTAAATGAGCAAGCATCGGTCACTTTGGCCAAGCCCACCATGGGCATGCAAATCTCACGGGGCGATGGACAATCTTCAATGAGGCCCTTGGGTTTCAAAAGGTTAGTCACACCTGCTCTAACCGCCTCCCCTCCCTCCCCACTAATGGTCCAGAATTTAGCACATCCACAATAGCTATACACCTAGGAGAAAGCACACGTGCAGTGGCTAAAGGTCTGCTTGGGAGAGACTGGGAGAAACTGGGAATGTGGGTGTTACCTTTCCACACGCACGCCCCAATATTTGTTGTCACCGCTAGAGGGGGCTCTACCATCTCCTACAGGAAGTGAATCTCCTACACCAACACCACTGGCTAAGGACTACCTGCTCCTCCTCTTGCCCTTCTGGGGCCAACAGATCTCCCTTACCCTCCTGTCGGGCTCTTTGGCATTGAGGAGAAGAGCAATAAGAAGAGCCATGGCTTTCAGCTGCAGCTGCTGGTTCGTTCTAGAAGAAAAGCAAAAGATTAGTATTGTTCAAATGCTGGAGGAGAGTGGATCTCACCCGCACCCCCTGTGTGCTGTACCAAAGGTTCCCCATGTATATTCATGCTGAATGCATGAAAAGTTTAGTTAGTTGCAAGACGCAGGTACTAAAACCTACAGATGAATGCTTGTCATACTGTTAACTGGGCACACAAGGACAGGCTTCCTAAAGCTGCCTCTGGCAACCTGGCACCTTCCAGGTGTTCTGGACTCCAACTCCCATCAGCCCCAGCCAGCACAGCTTGTATGGGAGTCCCAGACATCTGGAGGATAACCAGGTTGGGGAAGGCTGTGCTTAAAGAGAGGACAATGGAGGCCTTGATGGGAAGAATGCTTTAATACTGACACCTGAGCAGTAAAACCGAGAAGAGTAGAAATAGAAGGAAAAAATGGCACCTGTAGGGAGGAAAACTAAACTGGCGGTGGTTTGTTCTGGGCTTACACTTGCAAAAGGCCAATGAGACGATCCAGAGTCACTTGTTGCTTGACCAGCTCAAAGAGATAATGGCTGGTTGGCACCATGTTCTCCAAGATGGCCAGTGAAATCTGCTGGATTGAGGCATCCATTGGGACTATGTTGACATAGCTCACGATCTGCAGCCAAGGAACAGGAATGGACAGAATCATAAGTCTGGGAGGGGCCAAAGCCCCAGCCTCACCTACGTTTTCCTGGTGTCTCCCATTGAATCCTGGACACAGTAGTTTTCCAAGGGTGAAGATAATTGATTTTATTTATTTATTTAGATCCCAATTATTTCCAGAACCAGGACTCAAGACAGCTGACAAAATTTAAAACAAACACAAATTGTATGGTAGAATAACCTGGGAAGATTCACAGTTCCTAGGATGTACTGGAGCAGGGCCAACCCACGCCCCAAGGCAGCACCCCACCACCTCCACTGACAGAAACAATAGCAGCATCAGCACTGACTTCCTGTGAGATCTCACGAGATCTCAATTAAATCTCATGAGATCTCGCCAGAACCTGCCACCATCATCACCACCACTTTGCGCCACGCAACCTAGATAAGGGATGCTTTGGTGTGAGTGGTGCAGTAGCAGGGCAAGGCAGCACTTCTCATTTCGTCTCGAGTGGAAAATGGGATGCACCACCCCTGCACTGAAGGCACTCTTTTCTTTAAAAAGGAAACATATCCTGTGTGGGGACTTGCATAGAGGTGCTAGAGAGCAGAACACCCTAGGTTCAGTCCTTAACATCAGAGCCAGCTCCAGGTGTGCACAGGTCCTTGGCTTGCCGCCTCGACTACAGTGAGTTATAGCTCTGTGAGTGGGGAACTACAGTTCCCAGAATTCTTTGACAGAAGTCATGTGCTTTAAATGCGTGTTGGGTGTGCTTTAAAAGTATGGTGTGGATATGCCCAAAGCCCTTGAGCTTGTTTCCAATGGGTTGCAAAAACAAGATGAGCTGCCATTAACGGGTAGGTAACCTTGCCTTTTTGATGAATGCCGGACTGAGAGTCTCCCAGGAAACGAAATCGTGCTCCATCAGCTCCACGAAGGCCTTCAGAGCATAGGCTAGAATCTCCCCTATACTGGAGCAACAGACAGCAAACAGGGTAAGAGAGCCCCAGAGAGGCCACCCAGGAGGGCCAAAGTGCAGCTGGAACAGAGACACCCAGAAACGACAGGAAGGATGCATTAGAGACACCTAGAAAGGAAGAGAGAGGGGGAGAAAGAGAAAGGAAGACAAAGGAGAGAAGGAGAGAGAAGGAGAGCGAGAGGTGACGAGAAGGAAGTTCTGTATAAGCTCAAATTCCTAGAAAATCAAATCAAAACTTTATTAGCAAAGCCAACAGGCCACAGCTGTCAAATTCCTAGAAAAGGCCAAGGGAGAACTTCAGAAACCACAAGCAGGTGGCGAAGAGTTCAGAAAACCTCAACTTCTGCCCCCAGAAACCCCAAATTTGGCAAATGGAATATGGAAAGAAAATTTACTTCAAACATTAAAAAATTACTTAATTAATTCTGGAGCGTTTATGGGTGAGAGTCAACCAAGTTTTACTAAGGATATACGCAGTGCAATGAACAAACATGACTGGTCCATTAATTTCAATAGATCTGCTCTGAATAAAACTTCCCTGAGTACTACTCTGTACAGTTGCTGCCTTCCGCCCCCTCCCTTACTATAGTTTCTCTCTCTCAACCGATCCTACCTCACAGGTTTTATTTATTTATTTCATAACATTTATATACCACTTGATTTTTGGATGTTGTTGTTGTTGTCTGTGTGTGTTTTCAAAAAAACACCCTGTCAAAGCAGTTATTTGTAAGGTTGTTGCAAGGATAACATGGCTATGGAGAAAAAAGAAAATGGGGGGAGAACCATGTACAACGGGAGGAATGAAAAAACCCAGGTCTGGTGTTGGGGGCTGGTTCTGCAATGGGTGGTTACTAAGGAATAGACACACTGCCTTTAGCCACTTTTTATGGGGAATCCTGTGTCACAACTTAATCCTAACATGCTCCCCCTATGTTTTCCATGGTAGGCTTCCTTTTTTGTTTTTAACATAACTTCTCCAGGTGTAGATGGCCTATCACACAGCTATCTTGACTAGCTGCAGCCTGTACAGAGTTCTCTAGCCGTTTGTGTCTGTCAACTCTACAACTTTAATCTTTCCTGTTTCCAAACTGCATCGTCTCCCTAGGTCTGTTCTTTTATTCCTCTAGCACCCCAAACTGCAGCTGGGTGGGGAGTTGGGGAATCCTAATTGTGAGAGCAGTTGAAGGAATGCTACTTTAACCCTTCCCCAAACACAATGATCCCAATGAAAATCCACCCCACCTCCTCCACCAAGCTACATTTGGGGCTGAGAAAAAGGACTTCCCAGTTGACTATAAAATGCAAATTGGATTTCAGAAGTCTGAAAGCACAGATGGATGCTGCTAAATCATCTACAGGTTTCTGGGTTACAAGATATAGTCCTTCTCAATACATGAGATCTGCCAGCTGCAAACCAAACCACCGACTGCTGAGAAGGATTCCCCTCAGCCTAGCTATAGAAATGGAGATATGACAGGCATGGGGAACCTGAGGCCCTAGGATTCCATCTCCTATCAGCCTCAGCCTGCATGGCCAATGTTCAGGGATGTGGATGGGGGTTGGAGTCCTAGAAAATCTGGAAGACCACAGGTCCCTCATCCATGTGTTATAAACTGGCAAATCCTTTATGAAGGTATTCCGCACAAAAGATCCTCAGAGTTGGCCGGAAAGAAGCATCAGCTGCAGCCAAAGTGCATGGGGAAAGTCCTGGCTCAGAGACAGCATCTGCTTTGCATGCAGAAGGTCCCAGGGGTCCTGGAGAGCCACTGCCAGTCAGTGAAGACAGTACTGAGTTAGTTGGACCAACAGTCTGACTTGGTACAAGGCATCTTCCTATGTTCCCCTCTGAAGTTTGGAGGTCTCTGAAGCTTCCTCCCCCACCTGGGATACTCACTTGTTATCTTCTTCCACAATGAGGAAGAGCTGGTTGAGGCCGTTTCTGCTAATGAACTCCTGGGCAAAGGCGACGTCTCGGGAGAGGCCTGCCAGCTTCTTCAAAGACTCAGACTTCACGTCCAGGTTGTTGCTCTGAATCCCACCATGTAGCTTTGCTGCCTCTTGGTCCTGCCAAGCAGAATTTTTGGCTTTTTAATTTTAGACAAATCCAAGCAGCAGACACATTTGGAATACCATGCACCATTCCAGGTCCCCCATCTCAGTGTGAAAAAAGAAGAAAGAAAAACAGAGATGGCAAACTATTAAAGGGCTTTCCTTAAAGAAAAGGCGAAAATATTTGTGGCCCTTGCTTTTGTCTTGTTTTTATTGTCTTGTGTTCTTCTGCTGGCTTTTGTCGCAGTTACATACTATATTTTGGTATTTCTAGGGCTGGATGTTTGTGGGGCTTTTCTGCTGACCTTTAAATGTTTTATTGCATTCTGATCATATTTTAATTCTAAATCTCATCGGGAGGAGTTTTCTTCTGTTATAATGGCAGTATAAAAATGTTTCTAAATAGAACAAATGAACAAAATAGATTTAGGAAAGTGTGAAAATCACAACTCAGACGAGGAGGGGACATCTGAAAAATGCTTTAAAAAATCATGCAAGATAAAAGTAGATATGCAGATACGAGAACTGCAACAAAATGTTGAAGTATGGAACTCTCCTGTTGAGTGTGCCAGCCAGACATCCAGAGTATGCTGTTATATTTCCCTTTCCGCTTGCTCTTCCATTCTCACACGCTACCAACCAGCAATTCAGTCCATCAGCATTCTAGGGCTCAATCCTGACTTGCTTGCAGCTATTCCTCCTACAGATCTTTGGTCCTTCTGCAAATCTAAGTGACACCTCCCTTGGGTGTGGGTGGCTGGATGGTGACACTTGGTTATTGTGTAAGCAACATCACTCACAGCCTGAACATCAGAAACAGATGGAAGTATTTCACTTCCTTCTTTATACCAGAGTTGGCATAAAGGAGCAGTTAACCTTTTTCAGGTAAGGGCCACATGGATGCACGGTCAACCCTCTGAGAGCTGCTCATCAAAGTGGGCATGGCACAGTTATCTAGGGACCACAGTTATCTCATTGTGCATTTTTCATCTTAACAACTGCATAACTGAGCCTACCGGAGCGGTGGTCAGTTGCAGGATGCTCCCATTCTTAATCTCCCCACGATTCTGGCAAAAACAAGAAAAGAAAATGGTTGCACAATCAAAATTTGGCACAGAATACAGAATCAAGCAGGGGGCAACTGCTAGGAAAGGAGACCAATGATATAAGCCAAATGTACTCACCGATTCTGTGATGTACGCTTGCTGCCCATCCACATACTGCAGAGCGTAGCGCTCCGAATTATTCAAGTTCCACCTGTATTAGAGACCACCCATCAGAGTCCTGCCACAGCAGGGATCACAAAAGCATCTGCATCTCCTCAGGCAAATGCGACCAGCTCTAAAGGACATATTCCCATCCCACAAGGAGGCAAAATGCTTGTGATGGGCAGATCAATTTCTACAGTATTCAGTTCAACGAGGCGGGGGGGGGGCGGAATGACCTAAGCTTGTTTTGTTTTTTTAAGAGCAGTAATACTGTTTGCTTTTTTGAATGTCAATAAAAATGATCCCTGATTCTTTTTAATTTAAATACTTTTAAAAACTGCAGTTGTCAATCACCATTTCAGGAGCCACCACAAGGAAGAGGGAACGACAACATTTCAGGAGCCACCTAGGACAAATGCAAGCATCACCAAAAACCTAAAAATGTAAGAAGAGCCTTGCTGGGTCAGGCCAAGGGCCCATCAGGTCCAGCACCCTGTTCTCACGATAGCCAACCTGGTGCCTATGGGAAGCCCCAAAGAAGGGACCTGAGTGACCCACTGCTCTCCTCACTTACGATTCCCAAGCCACTGACATCCAGACGCATACTGTCTCTAACAACAAAGGTAGTACTGTTTTTACCTATATGCAAATGGATGAAAAGGTAGATTGATAGACTAATACTCAAACCATTTCAGCTTTCTTTAAACAAAGAACAGCCCTTTAAAAGAAAAAAAAAACCTACCTCTATTTATTCACACTTTTAAGAACTGTTTAGGGCTGTGTGTGAACTTGCCCTAAAATGAATTCAATTCTATGCCAAAACCAGTTGAATTCTGAAGCTTCCATAAATCATGCACATGAAAACTCATTGTGCAATTTTGTAAAACATATGTTTTGCTCCATTTATTCTGCAATGTTTATACATATATTCTGGTTTTGCTAACCATGAACAAAGCCAAAGAGCTTTGTAAAGCACCTACCTGTGTGGTAGCAAAAAGCATCTGTCTTGTGGCACCTTAGCAGATTTATTATGGCATACGTTTTACAGACCAAACTGAAAGGTTACTCCATCATAAGTTTGGCAGCCTTTAAGGAGCAACAAGATTCTATTTTGCTTACATAGGACACAGAAGCTCCATCATTGGACTCTGGAAATCTTATTCAGTTACCACTCCAGCAACAGACATCTAACCAGGCTTTGTTCACAAGCACACTTTCAAGCATATCTTTGCAACCATTTCTAGTGCAATAAGTTAACTGAAAGTAAAAGGGAAAGCCTGCAGCCAGAGACTGAGGAAGCCAAATTCTGCAGCAATGGCACATTTTGGGCTTAGAGAGAATTTGGTGCATGTGCACACATGCAATCTTGGGCGTATCACAACAGAGTTGAAGACATTACTCATGCATAAAGCTGGAAAGAGTAAACAAAGTTAAAGCTCAACATGTTCACAGAAAACTATGGTAGATTTTTGCAGACATTTATGGAGTGTGGCTTTCTAGCTGGAAAAGGTATGCGGAACAGTCGGCAGTTCACTCCTTGCCCTCTAAGCTGCTCTAATTCAAGGTGAAGGTTGAAAGCAAAGGCTACTCACGCGTCGCAGACCTCTTTCACTACTGCTGACAGCGGCTTGGCCTGAAATTAAAAGCACATGGCACATGGAGACCAGATTCCGTACACAGGGGAAACAAAGCCATTTCCATTCTAGATAAAATATGCCCAGAAGGATTCCAACCTGGAAGTGGTCCTGCTTTGTAGAGCACTTAGGGTAACAGTTAAGCCAGGAACCCCTTCCTAGGACAAAGCACAGGACGGTAAGGCAGAAAGGCATTCACCTGATTAAGCTCAATGAGCTGGGGGATGGCGCCCATCATCTGGACAGCAATTTTCACAACATCTTTGGAGGGCGGCATGGTGCTGCCTCACCTGCTCCCACCTGAGAAGAACACAGGAGTTAAGAAGGCCATTAGAGAAGTAGCCACAAGAGGAATCCTCTGGAATCCCCTGCCACTGAGAGCAAGGAAGCCCATTTAGGAACCAGAAGCTCGTTTTGTGTATTTGCTGCTAGGTTCTCAAAGCTTTGTAACAGGGGAGGGGAATTGCAGGCCCAGATCCACACCTTTCAGTCTGGCCCATGGGACTCTCCCCAGGTCACAAACCCTCACCGGTTTTGTTCACACCCTCCTTGAGTGTGTGAGCCAGCGCTTGGCTGAAATGCGTCCTTGAACTCTGATAATGGCTCTTGCTTGCCTGGATGGAGGATAGAGACAGGTGGGTTAATAGGTGTAGATACTAGCCTACTTCACAAAGGCAAAAATTCACATCAATTGCTCCGCCCACTTTCGCCTGTGGCTCCACCTACCAAAGGTGGCTTGGAAGGAAATGCATCCCTTGGACTGAAGGAAGTTTCCAACCCCTGGTTTATAACACCCAGGGCAGAACTTCGAGGCAGATGTCCAGGGATCCACTGAGCACAACAGGAACACAAAGCTGCCTTAAAATGAGTTGGACTCTTGGCCCATCCAGCTTAGTATTGTCTACACTGATTGGTAGCAGCTCTCCAGAGTTTCAGGCAGGGGTCTCTCTCCCAGCCCCACCTGAGATGCCAAGGATTGAGCTTGGAACCTTCTGCGTGCAAAGCAGATGCTCTACCATTGAGCTAAGGCCCTTTCCCAATGAACAAGAGGACCTCCAAACATAGCAAGGTTGTCTTCCCACATTTTAAAGCTGATGAAGTAAAACCACAAGGCACTTTGCACTTGCTCAGGCTCCAAAAAAAAAATACCCCAACTCCCAGGCTATCCCTTGATTCTCCCAGTATTTTGACTCTGCACCATTCCTGATATAAGTGGGGGGCAAAACGTTGCACCATTCACTGGCTACATATCAACAGCACTATAATCAGCTAATGGAACCCAGTTAGTCTGATGGCTATCAGCCTAGGACAATGCAAAGGTGGGATTTTTCACTGGGACCACCAGTGTTGTGGAATGCCCTTCTTGCTGAAATTTGAGAGGCCCAATCGGTGTTGGCATTCCACTGGATCCTGAAGACATGCCTCTTTCAACAAGTATTCCCCTGAACTGAACTTGTGATTTAAGTGTTTTAACTGGAATGCTTTTATAATTGTTTCATTGTGTATTTTAATTAAGGATGTTTTAATGCTGCAACAGATTTGTCCTTGTGCATTTTAATCGTGTCCTGATCTTATACAGTACTTGTAAACCGCTCTGAGGCCATTGTTGCATATAAGCGGCATATAAATTAATAAGAAATAAACCATCATTGAATCCATCATTTTGTAGACATATCTGCAACACTTACCAGATAGCATGAAAACCGCTACAGCTTAATCTATGTCCTTAGATAGAGATCCTTACCTCAGGAGAAGGGGAAGAGAGAAAATATTCCTTGAAGGATAGTGGACAAAAATATATAACGAACATAGGGGCTAGTCCCTAAATACAACTTTTTTGGAGCGGATATCATAAGGAGAAATAAATTACGAAATGGAACCAAATCACCCCTGACTCCGGAAACCAGTAATTAGCCTCTTAACCCTTTTTGTCCCAAAGTCAAAATTCCTCTCTCTGGAACTTTGAACACGACATGCAGCTACTCTGATCTGGAAGAATTTTGCAAAGCTTCCCCCGCACCGTCCCGCCGCCTGCAGATCCCCCAATTCTTCCCCCCGTCCGTCGACCCCTGCGGGGGTACGATGGATCCTCCCCACTGCTTCGCTTTCAGCCTCTGCCCTCCAAACTGTGGCTGCCTCCCTTCGTCCCCAAACGAGGGGTGGAGACATACCCGCCGCGGGAGAGTGGAAAGGGACGGCGGCCCGGATGAACCACGCCGCCCGCCTCCTCCGGGAAAAGAAGGCGCTCTGCAGAGAGCAGCCCCAGCCTGGCTCCTGCAAGGGACCGGCGCGCACCTCTGCAAGCAGGTGCCCTTGATGGGGTCCCCGGAGGACACGCCAAGGAAGGCTCGTCCGGGCGCTCGCCGTCTCCTTCGCCTCCTCCTCCCGTCTCGTCTTCCGATCTTCGCCGCCAGAACGCGCTGGCCCGGCCTCCTCCTGCTCAACTCTCGGTAGTTCCGGGGCGGTGGCTGGGCTCCCCCCCAACCACGGGTGCGGAGGAGGAAGGCGAGCGTCCCCGCCCCTGGGGAGGGCTAGGAAGTCCGGATCCCTCCAGCGCCGTCCAACACGCCGGGGCGCCCCCGGCCGGCGGCGCGCAGCCCATCGCCGGATCCTCAGGCCCCCAGGCGCCTCGCTTCCCGGCCCCTCTCCGGCAAATGCCGTCGCGGCACTGGCTTCGTGTGAAAGTGGGGAAGCTTCTCCCCGTTTCCAGCAAAAGGGTCCAGGGTGCCGCGTTTCTGCACGTCAAGGGTGTGGGCGCGAAGAGGTTGCCGTCGAAAGGGGAGCGGGGCTTGGCAAAATCAAAAAGGTGGTGGCCATGATCCCAGCCTCCATCAGTGGTTAAGTGGCTCCTCTCCTGCCGGGCTTGGTGGTCCGGGATTTCTAAAAGTCAGTATGGTTTGGGATGGGTGGTACCCAGAGCAAGATACTGTACTCCCTAACCGTTTGGTCTCTCCTTCTGAGCAGCAATCTGCCATCACCATAAGGCTCTGTGGGCGGCAGGAGCCTCAGGGCAAGAGTGCCCAAACCCACTGAGCAAGGCAATGCACAATACCTTTGGGGTAGTCACAGTGGAGTAGCGGGTGGGGGTGGCCCTGGGCACACCATGGGGGGCATGGACCAGGCACACACACACACCCCCGAGTCCCCTCTCACACCTCTGCCAGACCAGGAGCTCTGGCAGAGGAGAGTAGGCAGCAATGCTGCCATCCACTCTCCCGGACTGGGGCGCATGAATGTGTCCCTGCCGCAGCAGGCTCCCTCTGTGCCATGCCATCTTCGGGGGCGCACCCCACATGGCTGACCCGGGTGCTATTTGATAAGTTCCACCACTGAGTAGCCAGCATGTTCACTCTCTTGTCTCAGCGACGTCTACACTGGCTTGGTCACGTCCACAGAACGGAAGACAGCAGAATGCTCAAGGATGTGCTCTAGGGGAGCTGGCTCCCGGTACCAGACCCATTGGCAGATCAACTCTGTGTTACAAAGATGTCTGCAAACGTGGCATGAAGGCTGGCAACCCCAACCCCATGATGCAGGCAACCGCAGCACCTGGAGACCATCAGTTAGGTTGTGCATCCATAGCAGTGACCAGAGGAGGAATGGCTGCTGGGAGGAGCGCAGAGAGAAGAAATGCCATAGTGCAGCAGCAGCACAACCAGATGCCTTCATCTGCCCCAGCTGCAACTAAACATCTCTCCTGTATCAGTCTCTACAGCCACAGAAGGCACTGCAACCTTCCAGCAGTTGGACTGCCTAGACTGACAGATGCAACCAGAGCCAGCATGGTGCCCTCAGATGCTAATGGGGTTCACCTCTCATGAGCTCCAGAGAGCATGGCTGATGGCCAGGGTTGATGGGAGGTGTAAACCAACATCTGGAGGGGCAAATATTAGCCACACCTGATTTATAGCCTAATTTGAGACTGGAGGAGACTATTTGAAAAAGAAACCAAAAGAGGCAGCTGTTGCTTCTTTTCCAGACGCTCAGTGCAATGGAAATCCTTCTTTAGCATTAGAATCTCTTTAAACTCTGCCTTGCAATTCGATTGCCTCACAGCATCAGCCAGGCTGCAAAGGACATGAAATGGCTTGTTCCAACATGCTGACAGGAAACAGCTTTGGAAAGGTTTTGTTTATTCACTCAAAAAAACAAAAACTGTACAAATATTACAGGCAAGTCTCTTGCTGCAAAAAGTATAAAAATAATCTTTATATATGAATCAAAGTTCATTTCCACCCCCCTTCCCATTGTACATTTTCTTTAGGTATCTTTTCCAGGACGTCATCTAAAGAGAAGGCAAGAAATTTATAGCAAAGGGAAGTGACGGTTCAGCTGCTAAACAGATCCCTCCCAAAGACACAGAGAAGCCCCTGAGCCTATTGGGGAGGAAGAAATGGGACACACCTCTGGGCTTCCTAGAGCATCTGTGCAATGCAGGAACTGCTCTGGAAACAGACACATGCAGGCCAGGAAGGTGTCCTCACAGGTGCCTAAGCACATGGGTAGCCCTCCAGGTGTGGCTAGACTAGAACTCCCAAAGCTCCCTGACCATGTGGGCTGGGGCTGATGGGAGTTGGAGTACAACATCTGGAGGACACCACGTTGCCCATCCCTGCTAAACAGGACACCAGAGGCTTCTCTAAACACTAAGCATCTGGAAGCAGAGTATTAACAAGTTCCCACTCTGGAAAGGATGCCGAGGAATTGTAGGGCTGTATATTCCATACAGAGGGAAGTATCGGCCGCACAACTTACACCCTTGTGGCCACTCTTAGGAAGCAGGACAGGGCAGCCAGCTTAAACTAGCTCTTGCTGGCCAAAAGCTACCACATGACAACACAAACATTCCCTGATTTAATATGGGCGGCTTAGTGGTGAGTGTGCTTAGGGCTGCAGGTCTAAATCCCACTGAAATCAAACTCTTCACCCAAGCAGCAGTTTTTAAGGTTAGGGTGCAAGGCAGCACCACCTTCATATTCAGTGCCTGCGGCCAAGAACTGTGCAAAGGTTACGGGCCAGGGAGCGTGAGTTAGGGGCTGGCATCTGGTGAAAGCACAACTGCAGACTGGAGAGCAACACTGCGGTTACGGGAAAGAGGTCGAGAAGTGCAAAGGAGTCATAGGAGGAGGTTCACGGGTGCAGGTGGGGAGGTGAGCAATACTCAGTGTTGGAAGGTGGGGAAGATGTGTCGCATACAGACTCTGGGAGAGAAGATAAGCTGCACGGATGGGCATCCAAATGAAAGCAGCAATTTGGAAAGGGAAAAATGCAGTAGCTCGAATGCACTCAAAAAAAGCCCACCTTCAGCATTGACCGAGGATATGGAAATAAATCACCCAGACTTGGCCCCTTCCCTCAATCCAAGCCCCTCCTCTTGGGCTCTCACTGTCGAGCTCAGGGCCTTGCATTGCAGGCAATCCCAGCCAAGCTTCCCCATCCCTAAACAACTTGGCTGTTGGGGAGGGGGCAATTTGTTTCTCCATCCTGACTCTTTGGAGGAAAAGTGACTGTGCAAAACTGGCACCTCTACACGGCTAAAGGAGAAGAACTGGACATGTTTCGGCTTGCAAGACCGAGTGATCGTCGTGCTCTCAAAGTGAAACAGAAGCGGCTGAAACTCGGGAAGAAGTTTCTGAGCACCTTCCATACATAAAATGGATCCAAGGCAGGGTTGACAAGGCGTCGCTTCCCCCTCTCCCCCTCGTTCCTTGTGTCAAAGTGTGTAGTTGCCAGAGAGAGAAAAGGAAATGAGCACCTCTGAAATACATAGAGACAAGCTATAAAGACAAGACAGCATGAGCCTTCCCTGCCCCCGTTGTTCATCCCTCCTATTCTCTCCAGAAAGTGCCACCAGGAGTGTAGGGCAGCCAAGCCAGGCTTGCAGACCCAAGGAAGCTCTTCTGCTGTTCAGGAAGAATTGACCGCAGGCCGCTGGGAAGGAGGCCTCAGATCTAGTGAAAGGACAGCCAAAAATGGAGCAAGAGGGAAACCAGGGGACTGCCTTGTGCAACATAGGAAAGGAAGAAAAGAAGCCAGGAAAGGGAGCTGCTGCTCCTGCTGCTGCTTGGTCCGCAAGTCCATCCCTGTTGATCTTCAGTCAAGACCAGAGCAGCCAAGTGTGTCACTCAAGCACTAGAGCAGAAAAGGAATCCAAAAAAACACCAGGTTTTTCCAAGGACTGGTTTGTTTGTTTTTTAAAAAACATGTATCCTAAAGTCCATCCATATGCCAGGAGTCAGAGGTTGAGGATAGGCACATCGAAAAGGTCGCACACCCCTTCGCTCTCATCCAGGTTGTAGATGTAGTCGTGGTCACCAGGAGGCGGGGAGAGACGGAGCAAAGGAGCAAATACTGTTGAAGGGAAAGGAGTACAGTCAGGCTGTGTCTGGCTCACTGTGCCTGTATGCTGGCCCTTTGGCAACAAAAACCAGGGTAAGGCCCCTCCCACATGCTGCAACACCCAACCCACATGCCTCCCTGCCCTGCATGCTTTACCAAAAGTAGAAGACCTTAGAAGACCCAAGGAACAGATTGCCCATGTCAACTTGTAGCTTGACCCTCAGGACTCACCATTAAACCCAACCTTGAAACATGGGACCCTGCTTTAACTTTAGAACCTATAAGCTCCTTTGCTCTTCTATGCCTCTTTTAGGGCACACACAAAAACTGCAGATATACCAATGCCACATTTACTCCTTCTCTCTGAGGAAGTGTAGCTGCAGGGTGAGGAAAGAAGAGCAACTGGTGGGGTTAAGGACCCACAACAGGAAGTGCTTAGTATCTTCAACCATCAATCCCCGGATTTTGGGGGATGTAGGAACAACCATGGCAATTAAACTACTACAGAACCAACATGTGTGTTGTTGTTGTTATTTTTAAAAAAGGGGGCAGCAAAGATAAACATATGCTTTATGTTTTGTGGCGGGTGGAGGGGACAGTTAAAACAAAAATAAGAAGTGCAACTTTAGGTCACTTCTTGTGGATCCCAACCACTTAGCTTGTGGATCCTAACCAGTTAGTCCAGATATGGAGAACCTTTGGCCCTCTAGATGTTGTTGTACTACAACTCCCATCAGCCCCAGTAAGCATGGCCAATGGCCAGTGAAGATGGGAGTTGTAATTCAGCAACATCAGGAGTACAAGGGGTCCAAATGATGTCCTGCTTGTAAACAGACCCACACCTGTGTTAGTTTGAGACCAGTGTGCATTAGCCTACTCAGTTGATTACAGTTCAGCTGAGCTTTACCATTTGCTTACAGTTCAACTGGACCAACTCAATTTCCTATACCCTGACTTTCTAGCCTTACCCAAACCCATCTCCACCCCAAAACTGGGAAATAGCAAAAGGCTTAATCCTTACCATCAGATGACATTAGTTCTTCGAGCAGCTCAGAATTCATGCATTCTGTGTGAAGAAAGAGTTGCATTACAACCACACACTCTGCTTTGGGATTCTACAGTAGAATATTCTGTATCATTTCAAACAAAGGCTCAGGTATGTTAGTTTCGAATACACTCCCATGATAAAGAAGCCAGCTTTGGCTTTGATGGATGTTAACTACCTGGATGTTAACTGTAAAAAGAAGCAGTCAGTTGCACACCCCAACTGTGTATTTATAATACATTCAACACATGACTTTCCCCCAAAGAATCATGGGAACTATAGTTCACCCCTACAGATCTACAATTCCCATTATTCTTGGGGTAAGTGTTGGATGCCCAGGGAGAAATGTTATATTCCAGATGACCCAAACAGGCCTAAAGGAACTGCTTATGAACAGATGCCAGCTTGCGCTGCAGCAAGTAATGCTGTACAAGATAAAGCGATAGCCACAGGCACCCTAGTTTCACAGCAAGGGCAGTGTCACTACCACAGCATGAATATCCCTGAGCTAGCTGTTATCTCACATGTATCCAGCAGAGGGCCACTCTGCCATGATACCGTATTTTTCGCTCCATTGGACGCACCGGACCATAGGACGCACCAGACCATAGGAGGGGGAGAACAGGGGAAAAATTTTTTTTCTTGTTCTTCCCCTCTAAAACAAGGTGCGTTCAAGGTACATTCACCAGAGCTTGTGGGGCTGGCGGTGGGGGGAAGCGCTGCTTTCCCCCACCGCCAGCCTCAAAGATCTCTGAAGCCTTTGGAGCGCAGCGCCCCGCTGCCCTGCAGAGGTTTGCGCGCAGCCGTCCCCAAGCTAGAGCAGTGAGACGGAGCCCTCCGTTTAGCTGTTCTGGCTTGGGAACAGCCTTGCTAGCCTCTGCAGGACAGCGGGGTGAAGGCACCCACTGCCCTGGAGAGGTTTGCGCGCAGCCGTCCCCAAGCTAGAGCACCGAGACGGAGCCCTCCGTCTCGCTTTTCTGGCTTGGGAACAGCCTTGCTAGCTTCTGCAGGACAGCGGGGTGAAGGCACCCCGCTGTCCTGCAGAGGTTTGTGCGCAGCCGTCTCCAAGCTAGAGCAGCGAGACGGAGCCCTCCGTCTCGCTGTTCTGGCTTGGGAACAGCCTTGCTAGCTTCTGCAGGACAGAGGGGGGAAGGCACCCCGCTGCCCTGCAGAGGTTTGCGCGCAGCCGTCCCCAAGCTAGAGCAGCGAGACGGAGCCCTCCGTCTCGCTGTTCTGGCTTGGGAACAGCCTTGCTAGCCTCTGCAGGACAGCGGGGTGAAGGCACCCACTGCCCTGGAGAGGTTTGCGCGCAGCCGTCCCCAAGCTAGAGCACCGAGACGGAGCCCTCCGTCTCGCTTTTCTGGCTTGGGAACAGCCTTGCTAGCTTCTGCAGGACAGCGGGGTGAAGGCACCCCGCTGCCCTGGAGAGGTTTGCGCGCAGCCGTCCCCAAGCTAGAGCAGCGAGACGGAGCCCTCCGTCTCGCTGTTCTGGCTTGGGAACAGCCTTGCTAGCCTCTGCAGGACAGCGGGGTGAAGGCACCCGCTGCCCTGGAGAGGTTTGCGCGCAGCCGTCCCCAAGCTAGAGCAGCGAGACGGAGCCCTCCGTCTCGCTGTTCTGGCTTGGGAACAGCCTTGCTAGCCTCTGCAGGACAGCGGGGTGCCTTCACCCCGCTGCCCTGCAGAGGTTTGCGCACAGCCGTCCCCAAGCTAGAGCAGCGAGACGGAGCCCTCCGTCTCGCTGTTCTGGCTTGGGAACAGCCTTGCTAGCCTCTGCAGGACAGCGGGGTGAAGGCACCCCGCTGCCCTGGAGAGGTTTGCGCGCAGCCGTCCCCAAGCTAGAGCAGCGAGACGGAGCCCTCCGTCTCGCTGTTCTGGCTTGGGAACAGCCTTGCTAGCCTCTGCAGGACAGCGGGGTGAAGGCACCCCGCTGCCCTGCAGAGGTTTGCGCACAGCCGTCCCCAAGCTAGAGCAGCGAGACGGAGCCCTCCGTCTTGCTGTTCTGGCTTGGGAACAGCCTTGCTAGCCTCTGCAGGACAGCGGGGTGAAGGCACCCCGCTGCCCTGGAGAGGTTTGCGCGCAGCCGTCCCCAAGCTAGAGCAGCGAGACGGAGCACTCCGCAGTGCTCCGTCTTCCTGTTCTGCCTTTGGGCTTAGCGGCGCAGCCTGCATTCGCTCTATAGGACGCACACACATTTCCCCTTAATTTTTGGAGGGGAAAATGTGCGTCCTATAGAACGAAAAATACGGTATTTGCTTTCTCCAAACTGAGTATAGTAAGGGCCTCTGAAAACATGGGAGAAAATGCGAGATCAAGCCGGTTCAAAGGTCCCTCACGTTGCCCCAGAAAAGTAAAACAAATATGGTTCTGCTGAAGCAACGCACCTCTTGTTGGATCAAACATCTCCGAAAGCTCTTTGGGAAGTTCCGGTACTGAAAAACAGAAGAGACGGCTCTGGTTTCCATGCTGCTCCAGTAATGTCCAAAGTGCAGTAACCTATACAGGGTGCTCTCCCCTGTTTGATAGCCTCTGTTCACAAGCAGAGTCCCCCCCCCACACACACACACACTACCAACACCTGCCATAATATTTGGTGGAAGCCCACTGTTGCTAGACAGTTCCGCTATAGATGGTTGTGAAGCTTGATGGTACATCTACACTGTGGGCTTAAGGAGGGCTCAGTTTGGAAGCAATGCTAAAGGGCTGCCTATGCAAATCCATCTGCTCCAGCCTCAGGCTCATGATCTCCTGCAACACACACCAGGAAGAGGGGCTCAGAAGCACCAGGTCTTACTTGTCCAGAGTATGTTGCTACTTACAACCCAGGAACAAATGTTAATTTAAGCTATGGTTTTATTTGTACAGTACAAGCCAGGATCAGAAGCTAGGGCTTTAGCTTTGCTCATTTAAATAAACAATATTTTAAACCAGCCACAGTTTGTCCTTGCTGGATGCAGCAACTGAAAGTTAGCTTCAGCCAGAAAACTGATGCTTCCCATTTGCCCTTCGCAACCACTCCAAAAAGCTACAGTTGAGCGTTGTCTGTGAACCAGGCCTCAAAGAATCATGGGAACTGTAGTTCTGAGAGTAGCTAGTAATGTCTGGAGACACTCATTCCCACACAACTAAAGATCCTAGGATTCCTTGTAGGAAGCCAAGAACATGAAAAAAGTACAAAAACCGACATAAATATCCTGCCCACAACCCTGCCTACCGGTATGTTAGAAATCCCATTTCATTGCCCGCTCCAATACAGCATTACGTTGGGGTTTTCTTTAATATGCACTGCATGCCCCCAAAGAGAGACTTGTGGCATCAGCTGATTGAAAGGTGAGGAGCTCCACCCACCTTGCAAAAGTGGCCCGTGACAGGGGGAGGGGAGGTCAATCTGGCCTGCTGGCCACATCCAGTTCTCCACCCTTGTTGCACATGGCAAAGCAGATGCTTTGCTATTCAATAATAATTTTTTTAAAAACCACAGGCACACAAACATTGTGTCACCGCAGACTTTTAACCAGAATATGGCCTAGCAACCTTACAAAGCCGCTCCAGTTTCTGGAAAAAGAGGGACTTGGCACCATGCCCATTTGGGAACACAGGAACCCCCAACCCAAAAGGCAGCAACCAAAGAATTCTCACTTTCTGTGGGGTCTGGCTTGATTGGCTCAAAGGAGGTGGAGGGACTGGGCAGGATGGAGCTGCTGTCCAGCAAGGCGGAGGATTGGAGGGGCTGCGTGTCCAGGCCAGCAGGTGGGCTGGCTGGTGCTGTCGAGGGGGCAAGTGGGTCCAGCTCCCCGCTGCTTCTCGATTCTGCCGTTGAGACGCCACTATCTGCAAAGGTGTAAGACATAGATGGCGACAATTTTGCAACGTTTCATGGATTGCACACTGAATAGGACATGACACTCATCCACCAAACTCCAGGGCAGTACGGTGTTGCATTAAATGCCCGCAAGCACCCCCTAAGCCTTATAAATACGCCACAGAAAAGTTACTAGCCTTCATAGGTCATTGATTAGAACTTTTCTCCTCAACATGCCTTTTTCCACATGAAGGGGATGAATTTTCATATATCCAAAAGCTTTCTGTTACGCCATCTTCCATTCTCCAGACAGATGCACCACAGGCCAGATGCAACTTAGCCAACATGAACAGTATCGCAATGATGTAAGAATTAGAGGCCCAGGGTGTAGATTTTTAAAACATTCCAATATTAATTGTATTGAAGCTTTGGCTAGCATGTATTAGACTTGATTCTCAGTGTTTGCATTTTATGACTCCCATGCTGCATTCCTTTTCTATCTGACCCTGAAAGTGGCACAAATGGCCCTCCAGGATGTTATTCTAAATCTATCATGAGTTAGGACCAGAATGTAAAATCAGCTATCCTTGAAGCTTCCCCAAGGAAAGTGAGATAAAGGAAGGAATGTCAACAACCTGATGAAGGGCTGCTTGCCAGGGGAACAGTGACAGAAATGTTACATTTGAGCATATGGCCTGGGCACTCTTGGGGCACCCCAAGCTGATTGTGGGGATCAAGATTGAGCCATGCATGTTTTGCTTCTCATGACATGTAACTTTTCCTGATGTATGTAGAAGGATGTTGATGTTTTAAGAACGTTTAGATGGTTTATGACTCTTTTGTGTCCTGTGTGTATAAAACCCTTGTTCTAATTCTCTTAGTGGCAGGTGACTTCTTAACTAGTGGTTCAGCTAGAGAACAACCACTTAAGTTGAGCTCTGTCTTATTGCTACAGTAAATGCTGACTTCCTAACTGGGTGCTGGACTTGAATTATTTCCTTGGTTCCATGTTTTATTTACCCTCGCCTGGCTGAGAGCAAGGTGGTGTAGAAGTAAATTCTTACCACAGTAACAACCTATTATGCAACTTTTTTAAAAAACAAAACAGCTATACTTTTTATTAAAACCTAACTGGGAAGATACAGCTTTCCCAAAGAGTCAACCTGTAAACAGTTATCAAAGTTAGGTGCGATGTTAGAATTTTAGACACAAAAAAAACCAAGCCACTGCCTTAACAATTCAACACACATTCCAGGAGTGAGGAGTGGTAGACCGCAATTTAATCCTTGAGAGAGAACACACATACACACAAATGCACAAGGCAAAGCAAATATTTATCTCAGGCAGACCTGCCACAGAAAAAACTTGCCCTTTTCTGATGCACTTGCAGGAGGCAGATTGTTAAACTGGTATGTAAGCCATATATGTGGCCTTTCAGGTGTTTTTGTAGTACTATCGGGCATGCTGGCTGTGGCCGTGTCCAACAACTTCTCTTTTGGAGGGCCACAGGTTCCCCATCCCTGATACATGGAGTATGTACACGCACAATATCAAGTTTTAAGGAAGGAAGGATGTGTAGAAGGGAAACTTGGGAGTGTAGTGGGGGGAAGGACTGATTTTCTCTCTTTCCCAACAATGGAATAGTAGAGAAAACAGCTGTCAATACTTGATTGGGTTTTTGAATGTATAAGAAGTGTTGTAGATCCCGTTCTCCTGAATCAATTACTACTTACTTATCAAACCTTTATTAGGCATTGTGCAAATAAAACCATAAAAGAGGAAATAACATATAAAAGCCTTGAAATATATATAAAAGGCAGCAGTTGGCTACATACATATATATATATATATACATATAAAATCAGTGGTTTTCCTTGTTAACCTGCTCCTTGGAGGACTGCTACCAAAAACTCGGCTACCCCCGCCGTTACCCTTTGGTCGACGTCGGATAGGCAGAATCCCACACATTCACCTTGCTGGGGTTCCAGACCACCCAAAAGAGGGGACAGCACGCGTTGACGTGGGATACTGTACAATGGGCAATGAAAGAGAATATGCTCTACAGTGTCCGGGACATTCATAGAACATCTGCAGAATCTCTTGTTTCTAGGAATGTTTTGATATCTTCCCCTGACAAATGCTGAGGGAAAAACATTCAAACGGGCCAGCATAAAAGCCCTACGTTGGGCTGGGATTATTAATTTAGTGACGTAATTGGCTCTGCTATCTAAGATATTTAAATCATAGAATATGGGGGAGCAAATTTTGTTTACAGCTGCCATAATATTTTGTCTCTCGACATCCTTTAGTCTAGTTAGGATATTATGGAAAATGTATTGCTCAATTACGAGCCAGGCACCTAACATGAGGATGTTTAGTCGCCTACTGAATACGGGCTTTTTAAAAGGAAATCTTACCCAAGGTGTAAGCCAGTACTGTTGTTTTTATGAGTCTGTATGGATGGTTTTATTGTTTGAGTTTGCTAAATTGATTTTACTGTTCTTTGAGTTTGTGTTTCTGTGTTTCATTCTCAGTGTATACCACTTTAATGGCGGCCTATTTAATAATTTGTTTAATGAAATAAATACATTAAGACTAGTGATGATTCCACATCTTAATTTGGGATAAGAAATACAGTAACTACATATATGAAAGAATGTGCTGTTTCAGAACTAGAAAAAAGGAACGTATGTGTTATTGGCTTACAATAATTGTATGTACTGAAAATTATGTCAGATAATTTACATACAACTATAATTTTTAAACATGATGGGAAAAGCTGGTACAGTCCACTGTAAATATATTATTCCAGTTTGAGACCCAAGCACTTTGCAGCTGACTGGCTATGCTACTTTCCAAGAGTTCAAACTAATTTACACTAAAGCAAATAAACAAAAAGCCAAACAATTATAAAATCACAAGGAGGCGACACATACGATGGAAAAAACTCGGAAAATTTAAATTCTCCCTTAAGGTTTGATGAAATAGGAAGGTTTTACAGCATGTGTGGGGAACCTGTGGCCCTCCAAATGTTGCTGAACTCCAGCTCCCATCAGCCCCAACCAGTGTGGCCCATGGTTAGGGAAGATGAGAGCTGCAGCCTGACAATATCTGGAGGGCTACAGGATCCCCAGTCCAGTTTGGGTGCCATTTTGAAACGGGACAGTGACGTTGGAGGCTTCCTAACCTTGCCTAGGCCAGCTTCCAAAGTTCTCAGGTGACTGCTGAAGAAGGCAGGCCTCTGGCCATCCCTGCCCATGCCTTTCATCTGGAAGAGGCTGACAGCAAGGCCAAGTGACTCGACTTCAGTGTCATATTCGAGAGAGGTTACCGAGAAGGGAAAGCTCCTCTGCGACTCACCTGTGGCGCTGGCTGTTTTCTGCACAGCAGAGACCTGGTCCTGTGTGCTGTTGGGAACTGGTGCAGAAGGGTGTGTACCACTGGGAAGAGATGCTTCTTGGAAGTGGGCAACAGGTGGTCTCTGTGCCTTAGAGAGTGTGACCGGCTGACACTGAATGAGGTCTTCCGGGGGAGGCACAGGTAGTACCACTGGAGGAGAGCTCCAGGCGTCTTTATTTACAAGCAGGACATCTATTGGACCGCTTGTACTTTTCAGGTGGATCTGGTATTTCTTCTGACCATTTAAGCCCTAAAGAAAGGGAGAGAGATTGCTGCAAGGTAAGGCACCCAAGCCAGTGCAGTGATGCATCTATGTGTATGAAGGACTGTATCCAATATAGCGTTAAGTTAGTTAGTTACTTAGACTCATAGAACTGTAGGTGGAAGGGACTCCGGGGGTCATCTAGTTTAACCCCCTGCAACGCAGGAATCTCAACAATCTTAGCAAAGATACTTGTTCCACTGGCAAAATGTTTTGTGCCAGATGAATGTTGTTGTGCAAGAAAATGCGAAATGAAAGCTCCTTCACAACTTTCAGCCAGCATCAACCTGCAATGCGAGATGCTGCTGACTATTCCAAGGGCCACCAGCTCCTTGAGGTTTCAGCCACAGGTTTTTCCCTGCCCAACCACATTTTAACTGGAAATGCTCGGGATTAAACCTGGGACCTCCTGCAGGCAAAACATGAGCTATGGTGGCACCAACAGGAGCCCAACACCACCAGGAGGGCCAAAGGCTAGTGATCCCTCATATAAGGCTTCCACCGTTGCCTCTTTGCAACCAGGGACCATTCCTTTGTTACCCACATACCACTTACCTCAGGGACAGGAACCTCTAACTGAGTACCCGATGGGGCTCGGATGGCTAGCAGTGTGTCACCTGGAACAAGAGAGCAAACGCAGCATTTACTAATCTGATCTAGGTGCAGAATGGAGCAGCGGGCCGTTGCAAGCCAAGACGCGCACTCTTTCTCTTTCCTCCTTTTTCACCTCTTCCCTCAAGAGATGGGAGACCTGTGGCCCTCCAGATGTTGCTAGATGCCAACTCCCATCGGCCTCACAAGGTTGGCCAATGGCCAGGGTTGATGGAAGTCATAGTTCAGCCACATCAGCAGGGACAACACTTCCCCATCCATGCTTTACCTGGTCTGCAAACCTTTAACGCAGCCAGTAATATTGGCAGGAAAAAAGGACATCTCCCAGACTTGCGTACAGTTCTCAGATACAGAAGGGCAGTGCGAGTATTTGTGTGTTGTTTTTTTTAAGGCTGCTTGTATTTTTTCACAGCAAAAGGCCATTTCATTCACAATATTTATCTGGCTAATGCTAGTAGACCTAAGTGACTAAAGCAAGGTGATGGCAAAACAGAGTATACATGAAGGGAATCCAGCCTGGGTAGCAAGACAAGGACTACTGCACTTTCTGAGAGCTGTGAAGAATTGGAGGGCTTGCCTGATTTCTAAGAAAAACAGGCTCTAAACTCTGGAACTCTTGCCCAGCTCAGTTCATTTGTTCCTAGAGCAAGGAGTGGGGTCCCCAACGTTGCTGAGCTCCCCCACCCACCGGCATAGTCAATGATCATAGATGATCGGAGTTGTAGCCTAATAACACTTGGAGGGCACCATGCCAAGGAAAAGGTACGCCATACAGGAGGGGAATCTAGCTATGATACACCACCACATCCTCACCTGGAAAGCATTTGCAGAGGTCCTCATCAGTCACATAGGCTAACGTTCCTGAAGTTAAGGGGGGAAACCAGATGCATCCAGAAACAATGAGATCATTGGACAAAGGAACACTTCAAGATGTTTAGGGGAATTGGAAGAAACAAGTGAACAACAGATCTAGTGATCAGTCGGTGCTGCAGAAAACGCTGGTCAGAATGTGTCCTATGTGCCCCGCCTACTGGGTGCATCTCTACAAAAGCAGCAGCAGAGGAGGACATTTTGGATCAGATACGTTTACTTAACACTTTTTAAGCTCCACCCAACCATCTGTATTATAAAGTAGTTTCACACAACAGTGAATAGTTATGGCTTTCCCCCGAAGAATCCTGGGAACTGTAGTTTGTTAAGGGTGATTAGAACTGCAAGGAAACCCATATTCCCTTCACACAGCTACAGTTCCCAGAGGTCCCAGGGAAGAGGGACTAAACCACTCTGGAAATTATAGCTCTGTAGGGGGGAAAGAGGTCTCTTAATAATTCTCAGCACCCTTTACAAAATACAGTTCCAAGATTCTTTTGGGAAACCCGTAACTGTTAGAAGGGGTATGAAACTGCTTTAAATGTGTAGTGCAGGTGGAGCCTTAGTAGAGTCCTGTGGCAGCTTAAAGACTTAACAAATGAACTGTGGCACATGAGCCTTTGTGGACCACAGTCTACTTCATTAAGTGGACTTCATGAAAGCTTATGACACAATAAGTTTCAAGGAGCCAAAAGATTCTGTTGTTTTTGCAGCTGTATTTCTGCAAAAAGAACAAAACAAAACCCACTCCCAAGAAAGGAATATGATAGATTAAAGAAAAGTGACATCAATGCAATGATGGCAGGGGAGTGGGGATGAATGATGTGGAGAGAGATCTGGGATAAGGCAGTTGAGTTGTTGGTGCTGTTTTGGTATTCTTAGCATTTCATCCAGGGACAGATAGATGCAAACACACAAACACACACACACACAGAGAGAGAGAGAGAGAGAGAGAGAGAGAGAGGAGTCACTATCTCACCATAGATGTCTCGCTGGCCAATGTTGTGGACATGACCCAGCAAGAAGACTGAAATTTCTGTATCCTGGACAGGGTGGCAAGTGATTTGAAATTAAAGAGTTGTGCCAGCACTACAGGATTGGTGTCACTGCCTTCAAGCCCTGGAAAGTAATGTTTTCCTTCCGCCATCCTAGAAGGATCATCTTGGAACGAGCATTGGAAACTCGAAATGAAAGGGGGAAGGAGAAGGAGGAAAAAGGACTACGGTGCACTTAGAAGGATATCGGCTGTTTTGTACATCGTCCGTCACATTTTTGATGCTTTGCTGCACCCACATCTTTTGCTGCTCCAGCTCCCGCTCCCGCTGCTCCAGGTCCTCAATCTCTGCCTTCAGCTCTATCAGCTTGTGGGCAATTTCACGGGTGTTGCAGCCAGGACCTACTCCTCTGGAGGGAAGGAGAATTGGAAGCAAGAAAAATAAGAGAGGCCACCTCTTGCAGAGCTTCCCTAGAGGGCATGAGCTATCAGAGACATTGCCATCGCAACCGCAAAATACCTCCCCAAACCCACAGGATTGTTCAGTCGCGCTGAGCACAAACTATTCCTCCCTTTGTTTCCAAGCCCAAACCTTCCAGAGATGAATTGACAGCCCTTTAGATATTATGTCACTATCCAGTATGGTGCGGTGGTTAGTGTGCAGGACTAGGATCTGGGAGACCAGGGTTCAAATCGCCTCCGGGACATGAATCTCACTGTGTGACCTGGGGCCAGTCACTGCCTCTCAGCCTAACCAACCTCACAGGGTTGTTGTGGGGATTAAATGAAGAATGGGGAGAAACCTTGTGCACCATCTTCAGCTCCTTGGAGAAAAAGATGGGCTATAAATGCAATAAATAATAAAAATAAAATATTCAAAGATCTCCTTCCACCAACACAGTTCCCTTGAAAGAGAGTTCCTCCAAACTTCAGTCATGTTTTTATTCCCAAATAGTATATCATGTCATTAGGTTTTAGGTGAGGTACATTTTTATAAGTTTGAACCTATAAATGCTATACTTCCAACATCAAGGGGAAAATATCATGGCAGCAAACAGCATAAAATAAATTTATATTCATAAAACAATTATAAAACACATCCCAAATTAGTGTATCTGCTTAATACATCAAACATAACTGGATCATTGCTCAGGAAAAGCAAATGCAAACAGATGAGTTTAAGCAGGCACCTAAATCCCAATACTGTGGGTGCCTGCAACTCCCCTTACAACTCAATTTCATAAGCTATTTCCCTGCTATTTGTGACCACTCAGCAAACAGGAGAACAGCATGACCATTGGTGAAGCTTATTCAAAACTGCCTTAAATGCTGCACTCAGGACACAGTCAACTACTCAAATGCAAGCTGTGACTGTGCCACACTCCTCAAATGCAACTGCCCCCCACGCATCACTGAGAACAGAGCCTAGTTTCAGGATCACCAATCCTTGCTCCAATTCACGGGCACTTACTTCCACTGTATGCTGTTCTTGGACTTCTTCTCAATCAGCCCTATGCCCTCAAGGACATTTGTGATGTCATAAATGCGCCGCTTCTGCCGCACTGCCAAGGTATCTGCTGCCTGTGTAGGAAACCCAAAACATTATCATGCCCTGTTCACGAAGGCCTGAGCCACTCAGAGAATAGCAGGAAGCTGACAAAACAAAGAAAACCTCCAGCCACTTTGTCAGTTATACATAGGAACATGCATGGACTCAGTTTTTTCTGTCTTGGGTTTGGGAGAGGAACCATTAATTAAATCTCTTTGCCTCCCACATGCTCCATTTCAGGGGGTTAGTTTATAAACAAAACAGAAGTTCAGCATGAGAAGCTGCAACCCATCTGCCATCCTGGGGTTCCTTCCAAGTGGCCCCAAAGACTGCCTGATGTCATGGCACATCCGAGGGAACAAATCCCACCTTTCATGGCAGAGAAGCGTATATGTGTGGCATTGCTTTCTCTGATACACTGCCACACAGAGAGACAACATGGTGTAGTGGCTAGAGAACTGGGTGAGGAATCCAAATCTGCACTCAGCCATAAAGCCTTGCTTGGAGCAGTCACTCTCTCAACCTAATCCTATCTAGCCAAGTTATTGTGAATGGGAGACGGGAGAGGGAAACATGTAAATTGTCTTGGGCTCCCTGCAGGAAGAACAGGATAATGTAATATCATCATCATCATCATGATAATAATATTGCAAACCCAAAATCTGTAACATATAAAAGATGATTTCCTATTTATTACATGAAAGGGTCTATATGTTCAGAACATCAATGAACAGTGATGTGGATTATCAGTACCCAGTGTAAGAACCAAACTCTATATCCTGTTTAGGCAGTATCGCTGCAGGGCAGCTGGGTTGTATTCTGTGACTTTTCTGGATCCTCAGTTTCACCAAATGTATAGCATGCATAAACAGGTGATGCCTGGAAGCATATCTAGCAGTAAGATGCAATAGAGGGGGGAAAATCAAAATCCCCCATATTATTGTTGCATAAAATGCAATGTGTTAACAAATGCCTGATGTGTTAACAAAGATTTTGTAGATTATGTAGATACCAAGATGCCCTTTTCTCAAGGTAAAGGTGAAAAGGTAGGTAGATTAGAGCGCTTACTATTAGAAAGCAGGTTCTAGAGAAATTAAGAGGACTCGTAACTTCACCCAGATATAAAAATATTCAGATGTCTTTCAGTCACACAATGCTGGGAGCACAAATGGATCAAAGGGAGTTGTATAAGAGCAGCTTACGCTACGTGTCCACGTAATCTGGTATTGTCTGCTCTCATTGGCAGCAGCTCACATTACCTGTCGTTAGATTTTATTTTAATCTTCAAATGCCAGCGATTGAACTCTGAACCTTCTGCACACAAAACATGTGCTCTACCACTGAGCTATGGTCAGCAACATGCAGCACAGTTCATGTTTGTTAGATATATAAGTGCAACTTTATGACTACTACATAAGAACAACCCTGCTGGGTAAGACCAAAAGCCCACCATCCTATTCTCACAGCAGCCAGCCAGATGGTCATGGGAAGCCTGCAGGGAGGCCATGAGTACAATAACACTCTGTTCCCCAGCAACTGGTATTCAGAGAGATACAATTCTTCAATACTGGAGGTAGTACACATCCATCATGACTAATAGCCATTGATTGGTACATGCCAGGAATAAGCCAGAGACAGATATAATCATTACACCTTTCTTATGGACTTCCCCAGGGTATCCATCTTGCTTAACCATCTGGATTACAAGTCCAGCTAAATCTTCCCATACATTCTGCAGCAGACCTTAAAGCCTTCAAGAAGTTGGAACGGATGACTCTGGCATGAAGTTGCCAAATTAGATTTCACTGCCAAACTTGACACTAGGGAACTTGGCCTCAATAAACCACCTGGGAAGAGAAAGCCACTGTCCCTTTCAGTGTTTACCGAGACTATCAATTCAGCTATGCCTATTCATCACAAGTAACTTCTAGCTAAGAGTGGGTCACAAGGATGCTTCTTGTACCTGATCTTTGTTGACTAGAGCCTGTTTTCACTTGTGTTGTGCAAATTATGACACTTACCACAATCTCTTCCATTTCTCAACTTCATAGAAACATTGTTATCTCCTTACTCAGGGTATGCATATCCACCCATTTACCTGACTATTTCATACTTCTAATAGACTCTGACTCAGAAAAGCTTCCAACACAGTAAATAAGCCTTTAAAGTGCCCATGGACATATGCTGCTGCTAGCATACTCTGCATGAAAAAGAAGTCAGGTTCAATCTCCAAGTAGGGATAGGAAAGACCCTGGATTGTACACAAGTTCTACTCAGAGTAGACCCACTGAAATTAATGGACCTATATTAATAATGCCCATTAATTTCAATGGATCTACTCTGAGTGGCGCTAAACTCTATACAACCCTCTGATCTTAAACCCCGGCAAGCTTTTGCCAGTAATTTAAAGTTTAGATAATATTGAGCTAGGGGGAACAAGGCAGCTTCTTATGTCTGCTCCTCTGGAGTTAGCAAAATACAAGAGCTGCCTTGATGAAAAGTCTCAAGCTGCAACCCTCCTTGCACTTCCGTAGGAGTAAGCACCACCTGAACAGAGGGGGGTTTGCTTTGGTGCAAAGATACACAGACCTATGCTGTCAAAGCCATCATCAATCACCTTAGACAGGACTCCAGCAGGGCTCCTTCCCACTGCTGTTCCCTTCCAAACCAAAGGCCCTTAGATGGCCCTGCAGCTGACTGGCCTAGTTCACATAAGAAGCCACATCTGGATTCAGTAACACTACACTAATGCTTTTTTTTTGTTGTTTAAACAGTTTGTGGTTCATAGCATTAAAAGCTTCTTCCTGCCCACTTTTTCTACTCTAGATTTCCCATGTTTGGTCCTAAACCGTTTTGAACTGCAGAGGCGTCTGCCTGTTTCCCCATCTGCCTGCATTGCAGTGGAACCAAAAGCAGATTTCAGTTAAGGTTAAGCACTTCAGGCAAGGTTGCGAACACCTGCAGTCCCTTTCACACAGAAGCTACTGTTGCGGTAAAGCAGAAGCTCCTGCAACTGCTGGAGTTCTGCACTGGCAACAAACTGGTCACACCTGTGACTAAGTTATACATATGCAACCAGCTCAGTGTAACACCCCCACCCACAGAGATCCCTTCATGCACTCCTGCAGTCCATACCCAACATGCAACTCAGCATTATCTCCCCATTTGGCGGATGCTGCACCTTAACGGTCATGCTTCCTTGATATGAGGTGAGGGAGGTCAGAGGAAGAGCTAGCAAACAGGTGGGGAAGCAGTTTGCCCCTAGAGTTTGCTCATTTGGTCTGAGGACAGAGAGAGAGAAAAGCCCAATTCAAGGCAGGATCTATTAACTGGGATTTTTACTAACACACACACACACACACACACACACACACAAACACCCAACCCTGCATGGGAAGATGGAACGGAGTCAAGAGATCCCAAATGTGGACACACAGCAACAGACCAAAGCTCCAGACAAAAGGAGGTGGTCGGAACAGATACCTAATAGGGCCCGATCCTTACTTTCCGTGAGCCCGATCCGGCCCCAAGAGGCAAATCCTGCCACCGCCACTCCACGCTGCCTCCTTTGCCTTGTCTATACCATCGGGTGGGCACAAAGCAATTGGGATCTACCGGTAAGGGTTTCTTAACTGTTTTCATAGCAGCAACACAACGCCCCCCCAAAAAAACACACTAATGGGGCTGTTGTTGAAATGAAGAAAGCTAATCTTAGCGTGAAAGGGATGTGATATCAATACCGTTGTGGTACTGGGAAGCCATCCCAGATCCTGGCACCTTGTTCTTACTACCTGAGTGACACGTGCGTGTGTGTGTGTGTGTTCAGCTGCCTCTGGCTGGTGAATTGGGGGGGGGGCTTTTGGGGGGAGGAGGAACAAAGTAGATCCAAGAAGCCCTAAGTCTGCCCAGCCGGAGTGCTTCTTGCCCTGATGGGAGCCAGCCATAGCCCACCCCCAGCCATGTTGTGGAAGCAGGACCCCCCCCGGCACCCCGTTTCCCCCGCTCTCTCCTCCTCCTCCTCCTCACCAGCTTGAGGTCGAGCACGCCGTCCTTGGCCTCCTGCAGCAGAGACACGAACTTGGTCGTGAGCAGCCCCAGGCTCTTCTCGTGCCGGCTCGGGGCGCCCCCCGGTGGCTGCGCCGCGGACTCCGCCATCCACGTCCGCCTCAGGCCCTCCGCTGCCGAGGCCGGTGCAGATCCCGGGTCTCCGGTACGGCCCCCGCGCGCTGACCCCTCTGCCGCTTCCGGCCGCCGCAGGGCATGACGGGAGGAGGGAGGCGGAGGGAAGGCTCCATCTTGGGAGAGAGGGCGGAGCGCCGCCACGCTCCCTCCCGCCTCCTTCTGCTCGGCTCCGCCCACCACCACTACCACCGGCTTCCCCTCTCCTGCCGTTGTAGCGACCCCTGCTGGCCAGTGGCGTGTAAACACTGGTGGCGCCTTGAGGATTCCAAAGGGTTGTGCCTGTGGGGTGTTCGGAAAATGAACGTTCCTCCCCCCCCCCCAGTTGTCTTCTTGTCCATAAGAGCAGAATATAGCTCTGTCGGGTGGGCTTGTTATGATCTCCTCTTTATGAGTGATGGACTTCTGTTGCCAAATCAGTGCACACTCAATAATGCAACATTTTGTTGCGGGTTCCACTTGTAGGCTGCCGAGTTTGCTACTACAGGGCAGAAACTTTTTTTTTATTTTAAATCAAATCTTTTGCAGAACTGAAAGAAATCACATGACTAGAAACATCCAATTAGGGACTTGTGTTTAGCGATTTAATCCTTAATTTTCAGGAGCCAAATCCATACAACACCTTTCATGCGGGAGCTACTGCCCCATAATGGGTAGAGAGTTGATCTTCAGCTCCTGGCACTGATGGCCTAAGCTTGAAACAAGTCACTCCTTTCCCATTTGCAAAGTGTAAACGGTGATGATCTATCTCAGGGTAGTTGTGAGCGCAAACAAAATAAGAATTATGCACAAAGTGTTATTCCATAATAGTCATCTTTGTCCCAAAAAGATTTATAAAGTACAGCAATAACTTACAAATCTAGGACCTTACTGCCATAATGCACTTATGACACCCCCCTATTCCAAAGTCTCTTTCTTTTCACCTATCTCAACATCTGTATATATGTCCTTCTCGTCTCTCTTAGCCCTTGTTGTGTGTCCCAGTTATCACTGTCCTCAGGCACAAACTGTTTCCTGCTGATTTGATAATCTATGGTTGCAACTGGTTGGATGGATGGGTTATCTTACCAGATAACACTTAATTGAAATACTTCTTTGGCATGTAGATCGCAGCTGAATGGTGGGTGTAGCAACCCACTTTAGAAATATCTGGTCTTGCAGTGCAGGGGTGGGAACTGGATTTCTTGCAGCTTGAGATCCCCCTATAAGCTGTGCCACCACATTAATGCACACCCAGTGGAAACCATACTAATAGCTGTCAGGCAAAAGTTTTCCTCCGTGTTATTTAACTCTAACTGAGCTCAGCTACACCAGTGTAAGTCTGAATGCAAGTTCAGCTAGGAATACGCTGGCATAGTTGGCTCACCCCAGCTCACACAGGGCTCAGCTGGATGAGCCAAAGCTTGCTGGGTCTGCAGGGCAGGACTTAAGCCGAATACTATCTCCATTCATTTCAGTCATGTGACCTGGTGCTGTGCTGTTTTTATTGTAATTATTAGTATGTTTTAAACATATTTTATATTTTATTTATTTTTAATTCTATCAATGTTTCATTGTATTTTAATGATTGATTTTTCTCTGTTTCTAGTGGTTCTTGTTTTACCTGTAAGCCACCTTGAGCCCTTTCAGAGGAAAGGAGATAATGTAAAATAAACAAATAAGCAATAACTATCCAGGGTGGGGCACACTGACTAACTTGAGCAATTGATTAGATAATCCTTTCATTGAGAAAAGAAGCACTTCATATTAGTTGTCTATTCAGACACATTATATGTGTGTGTTTTAACATGCTGTGTTAGGTTCCAAAAAAGGAACTCAGTATATTGGTTGTCAGTTTATTTATGGCCCCAATTCAAGGTGCATTAGTGTTTAAATCCCTATATGACTTGGGCCCCAAATATCTGAAAGAACATGTCCTCATTTGGTAGAACATGAGAGTCTTAATCTTAGGGTTGTGGGTTCGAGTCTCACATTGGGCAAAAGATTCCTGCATGGCGGGGGTTGGACTAGATGACCCTTGTGGACCTGTCTTCCTCCTTACTTACAACAAGCTAGAGGTTGATTCTGCTTGTCATTCTGCCTGCCTGTCTCCACCTATTGCTGGTCTCCCTGCCTTCTGCCTTACTAGTCCCAAACACCAGTTAGCTACCGCTGAAGGCAGAGGGACATGCAGGAATCCTGGCAGCCACAACCCAGGCATGCATATATACCAGAGTTGTTCTGTGCTGCTTAATCTGCATTCCCTAAGAATTAAACTTTTGAGTGCATTTTCTGTTTCCTCCGCCCTCCTGTTCCTACATCCTGAGTCTATCTGCAGTGTTACAGAACAAGCCCCTGAGGAGCTGGAAGTAGTATCACTGACGGAAACTGCTATTGCTGGCTCTGCTTCCTCTGCTCAGCCCAGCCCTAAGCTCTGGACCTGTGCACTGCAGCTGAATCTATGGGCATGTCTGCAGAGGAGGACGATTCCACCAGATTCAAAGGTAACGCGAAATGCAGCTACAGGATCCCAGTGACCGTACCATTCAGTGGGGTGGGGTGGGGTGAGGCATATGGGGCCCTTCCTAGACGGGCTTTGGGTAAAGCAAGTCTCCTAGCTGTGTTGATTTCTTTCTTTCTCCCTACTTGAGAAAGAACTCCCTGTTCTTGCAATTGATGAGGGAAAAAATACTGTACCTGACATCTCAGCACACGTACAATGAATGAGGTTATGATTTTAAAGTGCTTTCCTTAAGGAGGAAGGTGCCAGACAATTTTAGTATATGGGTACCAGGCACCTTCCACTTTAAGAAAAGCACTTAAACTTTATCCACCTGGGCTGTGAGATGTCACAGATACTTTTTCCTAGATAATATTGCATTCTTGGGGTCATGCAGGAAGGGAGAGGTCTCAGAGAGAGACTTACATGTCATAGTAACTGTCCTTTTTGGAAATAAATGGGCTAGAAAAATCAGAGCCAGAGATTGGTTTGTCTGTTTACTGTCTGTCCTCACTGGGAGCAATACCATAGATGCTTTAAAACTTTACTGTGTGGTGCTCTGATAGAGGACACTTTTAAATAAAGGACTGGCCCCTGGCAGCCCTTCGAGTAGAGAAGTGTCCTCTGAAAGCAGGACACACGGCCACTCTAGTGTATGCCGCTATGTCGGGTGCTGTCTGTCTAGAGTCAATGTGGAGCAGTGGTTAGAGTGTCAGAGTAGGCTCTGGGGGGCCAGGGTTCAAATCCCACTCAACCATGATGTTTACTGGGTAACCTTGGACCAATCACTGGCTCTCAGCCTAATCAACCTCACAGGGTTATTGTTGGCATTACATGTGGGGTGTGGAAGAACCATGTATGTCAGCTTGAGCTCCTTGGAGAAAAAGGTGGGATATAAATGAAATAAATAAAGTAGTGCAGGATTAGACAACATGGTGCCTCTAGATGTTGTTGGACTCCAACTCCCATCAGCCACAAGCCAGCATGGGCAATAGTCAAGGATAATAGGAGTTGTAGTCCAACAATATCTGGAGGGGACACAGTGGGCTACTTCTGGTCTGTAGGCCTCTTATCACAAGGTGAAGCCTGGTGTTACAACACCTTCATGCTTTGGATGGAGAGGAGTGGCAATGTTGGGTTTCTTTATATCAGCCTTCCAGACATTTTGGATTGCAACTCCCAGTGGACCCACCCAGCACAACTAATGGGCAGTGTATTTCAAAACATCTGGAGGGCATCACATTGGGAAAGGTTGATCCTACATTGTAAAGATTTGCCCAGTCATTTGAATTCACCCTTTATTTATTTCTTTAATGAGTTTCAAACCACTTCCAAACTAAAGTTTCCAAAGCAGTGTACAACAGAAATACGTGGTACCTCGGTTTAAGAACAGCCCTATTTACGAACTATTTGGTTTACGAACTCCGCAAAACCAGAAGTAGTGTCCCGGTTTGTGAACTTTACCTCAGTCTAGGAACAGAAGCCAAATGGTAGAAGGGCACCGGCGGCAGGAGGCCTCATTAGGGAAAGCGCTTCAGTTTAAGAACAGGCTTCTGGAATAGATTAAGTTCATAAACCGAGGTACCACTGTATGTAACATTTAAAAAAGCAAATCTTAAAAGTCTTAAATTACAAGATGCCATTAAAAAATGGCTGAGTCACTCCTGAGTATAAAACGGCTGAGTCACTCCTCAGGGTAAGTCCTCTTTGAAAGCTTTCAATAGCTGCCTAAAAGCCCTAGTGTTTGTCTAATTTCACCAGGGAGCAGATTCCATAGAGCTGAAGCCACAACAACACTTAAGTCCTGGGTTTTAGTTGACCTCATGCATACATCTGCAGCATGCAGAACTCTTAACAATGCCCCCCCCCCAGGAACACAATTGCAGTGGAGGCTGGTTCATTAGGGCAAATGGGGCACTGCCCCACCAAGTTAGATCTCCCCGCAGCCACCTGCCAACTCCTTACTAATAACCAGTTCAAGGGGTGGCCCTGGCTATTGGAACTCGGGGAATTGCAGGACTGTGAGGGCAATAGAGCGTTCCTAACAACTCTCAGCACCCTTAACAAACTACAGCTCCCAGAATTCTTTGGGGGAAGCTGTGGCTGTTTATAGTGGAATAATCCATTTGCCTTTGCAAAATTTCCTATCTTCCAGACTCCACTGCAAAGTTGCTGGATGATCCCTCAGGTAACCTGACCCCAAGTTGTACAGGGCTTTGAATGCTAAAAGCAAAAGCTTGAACTAATTCTGGTAGCATGCTAGCAGCCTCATAATTGCCCTTATACCTATTATAAATAGAACAGCTATTCTTTAGTAGAGGGAACAAAATAAAAAAAAATCCTTCCAGTAGCACCTTGGAGACCAACTAAATTTGTTACTGGTATGAGCTTTCGTGTGCATGCACACTTCTTCAAATACAGTAGAGGGAATTAGTTATCAGATTCCAGACGCCCTTCTAACACCCCCTCTCCCGCCTTGCCTCTGAAGCCAGACGTCTGACAATACAAGTGTGCCTCCTTTCCCAGGTCATTGTGTTTCCAAGCCCCAGAAGCTTCCCCTCCACCGATATTCCACCTCTCCCCCTAGGCTATCCAGACCGTGGGTAGGCGGTCACATCCTGTTTCCTTCCTGCATTCCAGGGAAGCAGCTGGGGATGGAAGAGCAATTCCTGTCTTGCAAAGACTCACAGCTGTATGTGTGGTTTTCCTTCTTCTCCCTCTTCCTTCTCTGTTTTAGACCAGGAATGGCCAGAAGTGGAGAAGGCTGAAAAATTAGCCAGAGGAGCTGCCTTAAAATGGGCATCTGGGGTCTTTTACCGACCTGACAAATTGGAGGGCCTTGAAGAGTATCGGATCCGAGAGATACAACGCAACAGTTCCATCCAATCCCGTATAAAGGTTGGTGGTTGCAGTGCTGAAACCAGTACTGGCTGGTGCCCATTGGGATTGGGAGGGCGAAAGTCAGGGAACCCAATATGAAGTGCAGCCAAACGCCAATGCCAATGACAGACACAACTGATTCTAGCTCTGTCTCTATCCTCCTCCCTGTTGAGTTCTGCACTGGCCACACTGAGTAAGGAAGAGGAAGGGGACAGGCAATGCCACCTCCTGAACCCATTGTAAGTATGGAGGCAGGTAGTTGGGGGATGGGTGACAGCAGACTGAGGCTGGTGAGGCAGTGCCCCACTGGCCCTAATGTACCAGCCTCCACTGGCTGTTCCCTGAACACCTGTGTTGGCTCTTCCAGCTTTTGGATGGCCATTGGATGGGTTCACCAGAAGGGTCATGTGACCAAAGGCAGCTGCACCTTCTCCCTACCCCTATCACTTGCGGCGTGCTCAAAGCGGGCAAGGGCTGTTGCTGTTTATAAAAAAGAGAACCAGCAGGATCAGGGAGATTCAGGGCTTGATGCTGAGTTATGGGCCTTGGCAAGTGCCCATCAGTAGCAATCCCAGATGCCAGGCCTTGGCTATGCCTAGGTTTATTTATAAACCACCCAATAACAAAGGTTCTAGGGACGCGGGTGGTGCTGTGGTCTAAACCACTGAGCCTCTTGGGCTTGCCGATCGTAAGGTCTGTGGTTTGAATTCCCACGACAGGGTGAGCTCCCGTTGCTCTGTCCCAGGATAAAACTAGGCTAACACTAGCAGCCTTGAATAACCTTGGCAAAAAAGGATTTAAATCCAAAATCACCCAACACCAATGCCAGTGGGGTCCCAAAGGTCCAAGTGGAGAGGTGTGGCTTTATGACAACTGATATACTAATGATGCCTGGCACACCTACAGAGGCAAGTGATACCACATCCAGGACAACACAACAGAAAAGACCCTATATCAGGTCATTGTCTGTTGGGCATTGCCCAAAACTTTATTTATCAGGTTGGCATATACAAGGAGAGCCACTCTTTCAAGTATTAATGCAGCTTGATCCTGAAATCTCACTGGTTTAAGCAGCCTTGATTATGAATTTAATAGAACAAGGGTTTGGAGATCCAGATATGAGCTTTTCACATAGGAAGCCGCATTATACTGAGTCAGAGCTAGCTAGCACAGTATTGTTTACACTGACTGGCAGCGGCTCTCCAGGTTTCAGGTAGGGCTCCATCCCAGCCTTAGTTGGAGATGCTGGGGATTGAATTTAGGACTTTCGGCATGGAAAGCAGATGTTTTATCACTGAGCCAAGACCCTTTGTCCTGCCTGTGAAGTCTCTGTGTCCTCTTTGCCACTTGATTCTCTCTGTCCCTAGTCAACTGTGCAGTCCTACCTAGAGGGTGTGAGCACAGGCCTGGAGCAGTTGCACTCAGCCACTGCAGATATTCAACATGTGCAGCAAGCATTGAGAAACATATGCCAGTCCTTGGCATCCAGCACCGACTCTTTTCAGAGCCTGCAGCGACTACGGGAGGTGGCAGTGGAACATGCCCAGCTGGGTTCAGTTGCCCAGACATTGCCCCAACTTTTCTCAGGTGAGCCTCAGTTTGTATATGTGTTATTTATTATTATATCCCCTTGTAACCAGAGTGGGTTACAAAAACCACACTATTAGAATGAGTACAATGAACAACTAAAATTATGAAATTAAACTGCAAAACAATCATATCAGAATAACAAAACACCAGCCCAGAGCACTCAGCCAAGGGCTTGGGTAAAGAGGCTATTCAAAACCTCAAATACCTAAATGCCATTGCATCCTGAAAACTGCATGCATGCAATTCCAAAACACATGGAACAACCTTCTAAATATCTGCAAGCAGCGTGCCTACCTTTCAGCTGAGACATTTCCCTCTCTGGCTTGATCGTCTTGCAGCAGATAATCTTGTAGATCAGCTGCATACTTTGTACAGCACCCCTTTCCCCCTCATCTGCCCAGCCAGCTGAGTGCCCTTGGACAGAGGGTTCCACACCCCTGCTCTAACCACTGCTCTAACCACACTGGATATCATTCCTCTTTCTTCCCCAGGTTATGCTTTTGAAGCCCTTTCTCCCTTTCTTCTTTCCCACACAGTACACAAACTCCTTTCCGAGACCTTTGACCTCCTGCAGAGTCACCATCTGCTGGAAGCCCACGCAGGATTCATGGACCTAGAGAGTTTACGGGACAGCATCCTGTTCCAGCTGCATCACCACAACCTGCTCAGCTCCTCGCACCTGGCCAGTGTAGAGTCCTACTTCAGGGGCCTCCTGGAACTGAACGATGCCCTTGCCCAGCACCTGTGGCACATTGTGGCCCACAGCACAAGACTGGTGTCTGAGGACCCCTCCCTCTTTGTCTCCACGCTACGCATTATTGAGCGTGAGGAGAGCATTGATGCTGCCCTGCTGCTGAGATCTCAGCTTCCTTCTGGCTTCCTCCCGCCAGGGCGCCCCAAGTGCTGGAGGCAGAAGTTCTTCCAGGTTATACAGGACACCATAGTCGCTTCCCACTTCCAGGCCATGCCAAGCAATGCCCAAGGCCAGCACCTTGCTCAGCATTTGGCGATCTTGCAGAACAACATCCTGGCTGAACTGTGTGTTGTGAAAGACCTGATGGCCCAGTGCTGCCCACCTCACTACAATATCGTCGCAGCCTTTGCTGCCATGTATCATCAAGGCCTTGCCAAACACCTGCATCACATCCTCACTCGGGAGCTGGAGAAGCAGGAGCTCTTTACTCTTCTCCAGTGGGCACTCCATGTCTACCCAAGGTCAGTGCTCCTAATGGCAGGTGTTGGGGTTCATAGGAGAAGTGGGGGTCATTTATTTTTTTTTAGAAAAAGAAGTGCTGGGGCTTACATTTGCCTACCACCCATAACTCTGACTTGGAATCCCAAACACCATCCATCTGAAGCACTCATAGGCTACTTTAACAGTCATGGCTCCCCCCAAAGAATTCTGGGAACTGTCGTTTGTGAAAGGTCTACTGCAGTGGTGGCCAAACTTGGCCCTCCAGCTGTTTTTGGACTACAAGTCCCATAATCCCTAGCTAACAGGCCCAGTGGTCAGGGATGATGGGAATTTTAGTCCCAAAACAGCTGGAGGGCCAGGTTTGGCCACCACTGGTCTACTGAGAACTCTCACCACTCTTGACGAAGTAGAATTCCCAGGATGCTTGGGGGAAGCTGTGACTGTTAAAGTGGTAGGATAATGCTTTAAACACATGGGTGTTTATCCAATCATGTTCTCTGTTGTACCAGCAGGCAACTGTCGGGTGGAATTTGCAAAGAAGCAGATTTGGCAATGGGCTGCATTTCCCCGTACAAGAATACTAGAAATATGCACATATAATCCTGCTTCAGGTGTACTGAACAGCCTTGCAGTGGACAGTTGAACTTAGGTACCTTTTGCTCCTGACCCTTCTTGTTGTTCCACAGCTCAGAAATGATGACCCACCCAAGCCTTCTACCTGAAGTGGACATCACAGTCTTGGGTCCTCTGCTTCCTGTGGATACAGTAGACTATTTGGAGGAGACCTATGTGGGGAAAGTACAGGTGAGTCGTGGAGACCATGGGGAACAAAATGATCGTGGATACTGAAGCACTCATATATTCAGATTTGCTGGTTGGCCTAGAAACCTGGGTGCTGGAGAGTGTTAATAGGAAGTTCTCCAAATATTCAGGCAGAGATCTTTTCTTACCAGTGAATGTGGAAATATTCCGTCTGAAAGTCTAGAGAGCTGCTGTGGGCTGGAGGGACCACTACTGAGCTAGAGGAACCAATTGTCTAACTCAGTATCCAGCATATTCCTGTGAATAAGGGACAAATGGCATATTACTGGATGCCGTGCTATGCTATAAAGTTGTGTAAAGTCCTTGTCTCCTCTTTCTGAAGAAAAGCACCTTCAGGAGATGCCCATTTTTAACAGATAGGGGGTAGATGAGGCAGCGGTGCTTCACCCTTTTCCCAAGGTTTCCAAAGGTTGTCTCCCCAACTGATTTGGCCCTGCCCAGGGTTCCAAACTCAGGCAACCACACACTTGGGACTCTGAGGGTCAAGAGGGCGATTTGGAGCAGATGGGGAAAATGGCTGGTAAAGAAAGGGCTAAGCATTCCTCCTCCGTCTGCTATTTCTCTGTTCAAAATAGGTCACTACCCCAAACTACTTTTATTCAGAATAAGCAGCCTTCAGCCAAAACGTGTTACTTCTGCGCAGTTTGCCTCTTAAGCCCCTCTAGTCTCTGGAGTTTTCATCAGGCACTTCCAGATCACCTGTTTATTGAGCATTCATCCTGATTTGTTTGCTGGGGAGCTTAGAAGGTGTTGGCTATTTAATGAACATTCATCCTGATTTGGGAGACAGGTTTGCTGCACGAGATCGAATCCCACCCAAAAATAGCACAGAAAGTGCTACCTTTCAGGGAAACAGGTTTGTTGTGCAAGACCTCCTAATCAACTATAATTGAGCAAACCTGAATCTGCTGGCTTGTGGCTGAATTCCACCTGAAAATAGTGACAGTCTGGAAGCATCCATTGTTTCACAGCAGTGGAGAGAAATAGGGATAGAGGTGGGAGGTTTTCAGGAAGACCAGAGGTGGAGGTAGAACACATACTGCAGGTCATATCCACACACAGCTATATTTCCCAGCACCCTTAACAAACTGTAGCTCTTGAATTCTTTGGGGGAAGCAATGTGCATTAAATGTACTGTGAATGTGTGATGTGGATCTGAGCCGTATGTACTGTATATCAGCTGCCCCACTAAAGAGATGTTTCTCATCCACAGGAGAAAGGAGCTAGGCAAATGAATATGAACACTGCTGGGGTTGTGAGTGGCTTGTGTGCAGTGGAGGGTCCCTGGTCTTCACTTAAAAAGAGAATAGTTACTCAGGTCTGAGAGCCAAATTTGTTCACCCCGCCCCACCCAGGCCTCTCTTTCTGGCCCTGGGAACTTTCCCCAGGCTATGCCCATGAGTGCTTTTTCTTGGCTGGAATGTGTCGTTGAATTCAGAACATGCTTCCTGTTTGTCTGGATGGAAGACAGAGAGCTTCATGTGGAGAAATTAGCCCATATGCAAAGGTGACATTCACATTTGTTGCTCTGCCTGCTTTTGTCTCCAGCCACACCCACCATAGGCACATGGCCCTCAGAAGGTTGTCCAGACAAAAATGCGGCCCTCGGGGTGAATAAGGTTCCCCAACCTCTGTTGCCATAAACAATCTCTGCTTGTTCTTCTAGGCCAGCTTTGCTCAGTGGATGCAGAAGACGCTGGAGATGGAGTTTAAAGAGTGGTTCAGTGAAGAGGAGCCCGAATCAGACTATCAAGGCTGCTTCCAGACCAGCCTTCCCATGATTGTCATGAAGGTCAGAGAAGAAGGCAATGCACTGCAGGGAAGCCTGCCTGATTCCTATACAGGGTGTCCTATTGGCTGTGGAAGCAAAGCCATGTGTTTGATCCCTACTCATCCAATCACCTTCCTCTCTTTCTTTGCTTGCCCCAGATGCTGGATGAAAATATCCGAGTGGCATCCCTCATCTCAGATACTCTGCAGCAGAAGTTGTGCAGCATGGCCCTGGAGGAGCTTGAGGTCTTTCTGGGCAGGTCAGTTCTCTCTCCATGCTGCTGATGCAGAGTAGGGACTGAGAGGCAAGAAAAGGATGCTCAGCACAGCACAGCTCAGTGGGGAAACCACCATAACTCAGCAGTAAATCACCTGCTTTGCATGCCAAAGGTCCCAAGTAGGGCATCTGCAGGTAGGACTGGGAGAGACTGCTGTCTTAAACCCCTGAGAATTGCTGCCCATCAGTGATGGCAATACATTGATGGACCAATGATCTGACTCAGTATAAGGCAGCTTCCCATGTCCCTAACATTAATTCACCAGCAGTAGGACCTTCAGGCACAGCCCAAGGAGACATCTTGGGTTCTTACTTGAATTTGGTTATCATTCCTGCTAAGGATCCTTGCTCCTTTCCCCTTTCTTTCACTGGAGGCTGTGGAGGCTCGTTTCCCTAATCCTGCTCCAACTGAGGCTCCATTTTCCTTACAGAAAACCTTTAGTGGGCTTGAAATGAGGTATGTTATTTCTGCGCCATAAGAACACCCCTGAAGGATCAAACCAAAGGCCTGTCTAGTCCAGCATCTTGCTTCCCATACATAGCTCTGTGGGGATCCTGCAAACAGGACATGAGTGCAATAGCTCTCTCTCTCTCCCTCTGCTCTTCCCCAGAAGAGGCATTACTTCCAGATCTGTCAGTATTATGCAAAAAGAATTTAAGCCCATACCAGAAATGAAGGTGGATGAAAGCTCTCTGTTGACCTAGCACAACAAATCCAGTTTAAAGCAAAATCCTGACTTTTTGCAGTTAGGAAAGTGATAGAGAAATGCACTAAAAAGTGTAGAATGGGCAAATAACTAATAGAAAGAGGTAAAATCAACTTGCAAGCAAATCAGGATGAATCCTCATTGTTGTATAATCACCCCGCAAACAAATCAGAAAAAAGCTCAATAAAGACCAGATGTGGTCTAACCTCCTCATAAGCTCAGTAAACAAGTTGTCTGCCTCCGATCCTGGAGGCAGAATTTGTCTCATTCTTCTAAAGCCATCAGAGGGCGCTTCAAGATTACACATTCATTCATCCCAAACTGTAGTTTGTTAAAGACACGTTTTCCTTACAGACCTATGATTCCTGTGAAGAGGCACTGACTGTTAAGCCATGCTGAGAATTGTAGCTCTGTGAGGGGAATAACAATTTCCTAACAACTCTCAGCACCCTTAACAAACTACAGTTCCCAGGATTCTTTGGGAGAAACCAGAACTGTTAAAGTAGCAAAAGTGCTTTAAATGTCTACTGAAGATGGGGCATAGGTCTGCTTATTCTTCATCATACGTGGAACTCTGCACTGTTTCGCTCTCAAGACACATGGGATGGGCGAGTGGCTACTGGTGTGCAAGATGTCATGACAACTGCTGTGCTCTCTGCAGCCTGTATGAAGACCTGGTGGGATTTGGCAAGGAGCATCAACGAGAACCTGTGACCTCCAAGTGCTATGTGCCTTACTTGCTGTCAACCCTCAACAACTGCCAGGCTCTCAGGTATTCCCAACTCCTGTGATTGATTCCTCCCATATGCCTTCTGTATCTGGGCTTCTCTTGCTAGCAGCCTACATGCAAGCCCGCTTCCCAGCTATTCCTCTTCCCTCCACTGGCAGCACCTCCATTGCAGCCCTGTGTGAAGGCAGATCAACATCCTCAGAGGCCAGCAAGATGTCACCAAGCCTTCATGTTGCCCTGGAGAAAGCCCAGAAGAAGGCATGCCAGCTGCTGCTGGAGGAGATGCTGAAAGATCTGCAGGTACCCATTGTTATTAAGAAAGCCTATGGTAGAGGTGGGGATCCACAGCCCTAGGGGCCAAATGTGGCCCTGCAGGCCTCTCTGTCTGGCCCTTGGAACTCTCCCAAGGCCATGTCCCTTGCTGACCCTGTTTCACACCCACACATGAGTTTTTCCCAAGCTAGAATATACCCCTGAACTTTGACAATGCTTCCTGCTTGCCTGGATGAAAGATAAGAGAGCGTTGTATGAGATTGTCAAAACTAACCTACGGTATGAAGGTAAAGTCAATATGCATTGCTCTGCCCACTTTTGCCTCTGGCCCCGCCCACCAGTGGCATGTGGCCCTCAAAAGCTTGCTCAGAAGGGAATGTGGCCCTCGGACTGAAAAAGGTTCCCCGTCTCTGACACATAGTAAACGGATTAGAGATTCCCACTTACAAGTGCCCTAATACCACCATGAGCACAAATAATGATGAATGCAGTTTTAAAAAAAGATGTCTGGAGGGGTCCTGAGTGCCTGTGCTTGCAAGCAAGCCCAAAGAAGCTTGTGGAGCCCTAGTTTGCAGCAGCCAAGCTCCTGATGAGGGTGAATTGGTGGAAGGCAGGCTAACTATCTGCTCTGCCTTCACAGCTATAGATCTTCTGCTCACCATATCTTGACCCTGCAAGAGGCAAACCAAAACATACTTCCTTGAGCAGGTCTTTTAAAGGCAACATAACATGTAGTATTTGCAGAGGAGCTCTATGCCATTTTGTAGGTTTGCCTGTATTTGTTGTTGTTGCTGTAAGCCATTCTGGACTTCCTTCTGGAAGGTGTTGTGTGTGTGTGTGTGTGTGTGTGTGTGTGTGTGTGTGTGAGAGAGAGAGAGAGAGAGAGAGAGAGAGAGAGACCTTTTTAAAACAACTTAATACGTCCCTTGTTCTGTCCCAGCCTCCGTTTGCTCAGATGCCCTCCCGTCAATGGCTGTCTGGTGAATCCCAGGTGCTGAGCAGCATATGCGAGGTGGTAGAAATGCACATGAAATTCTTCTGCAGAACTCACAAGCCAATGAGCATGGTAAGATCCCTCCATAGCTGGGGGCTGACAGCGGTGGGAAGATCTGTGCACTGCTGGTTGGCTAGCTTCAGGGAGGGTGGTCTACCATTTGAGTATTGCCTCTAGATTCTAGAAGTGGGGGGTCTGCAGCCTGAGGTTTACACGTGGCCTTTGGGCTTTGGATTTCAAGTGGGTGAGGGGGGCCTGGCAAGAAAGGGGCAGGGAGCCAAGACTGGTGGAATGACAGAAAGCGAGGGTAAGCTCTCTGCAAACTTATCAGAAAGAGAAAGAAAATGGGGTGGAAGAAAGAGACGGGGGAGAGGGGGAGAGAAGAAAAGAGAGAGAGAGTGTGTCAAAGGGAGGTCCTTCCCACTTTTTGCTCTGGCCATGCCCATTGCCAGCTTCAGCGCCACCCATCACCAGCAAGATGGGGACAAACCTAGAATTAGTTATCTCTGCCTGCCATTGGCTCTGGCTCCCTACTATTGACCTCCCTGCCTCCTGCCCTACCAGGCCCAGTGGGCACCAGCCACCACTGCAGGAAACACACACACTGCGTTTCTGCCTTTTGTCTCAGTGCAGCTCCCATTAACTAGAATGACCATGGCAATTTTCCCCCCTTGATGTCCAGCACCTCCTGTCAGAGACTGAGCGCTTGGTCATGAGCCAGTACGTGAGGGCTCTCTTGCAGAAAAGGCTAGTTTGCCGGAACGCTGAGGAGAGAAGCCGGACGGCCAGGCAGATGGTGCAAGACGCCTCTCAGCTGACGGAGCTCTTTTGCAGCCTGGTGAGAGAAAGGAACAGCTAACAGCTATCATGTTTTGCCAGACACGTTCCAAGGATGGGGCTGGCAGCTGCTGGTGATCACAGAGGAAAGGGAGATTGACTTTGCTCACCAAGCTGAATACAGAGTTGTGTGCGTGGCCAGCAAAGATCAAATATGCATCCAATAGGGATGAATGGGTCATTCTATTTCCAGATTGTGTCAGTTTTGCACGTGTTCATTCAAAAGTTAGTTATTTCCTATTTTCACATCAATCAGCTATTTGTTTGTTTTAAACTGGGGGGAAATTCATATGCAGTTTGACCTGAAGTACACATTTTTGTATATTTTTGAGCCATGAACTATATTGCAAAATTTTAAGATGTTCAACAACTGAAGGATAACTGCATTCCAGTTCCTGTATTAGTCTGGGAAGTAAGAATGGAATAAATTCACTTAAAATGTGAACTGAGCAAAATTTTCAACATCCCTAGCATCTAGTTGCACGACTTCCAGCTTCCAAAGAAACCTGTGCAGGTTTCTCCTAGGGCCGAACTGTTGGGAGATCAACTTTGTTGCCTAGCAAGTCTGGCCGATAATACCAAGCTAGAGTTGCTGCTTACTCCTGAGGTGTCTTTGCATTTCAGTACCTGCATGAAAAAGTCACATCAGGCAATCATCCTTTTGGTCAGGAGGTGGCAACCCAAGCCAGGTTGGGGTTGGGGTTGGGGAATAAACAACTGTGCAGAACACCTGGTCATGAGGCTGGCTCTGCCAACAGCTGCTAGCTGTTCCCTAGTTGAACTTCGTTCAAGGATGCTGTGGAAGGTAGTCTAGTGATGACTGGGCTGCTCTCTGCTTTAATGTCTATGGTACAATATCAGGTAGGTAGCTGTGTTGCTCTGATGCAGTAGAAATAAAAAAAATAAAAAATTGTCTAGCAGCACCTTATAGACCAACTAAGTTTGTTCTGGTATAAGCTTTTGGGTGCAGGTATCTGAAGAAGCTTGCATGCACACAAAAGCTTATACCAGAACAAACTTAGTTGGTCTATAAGATGCTACTAGATAATTTTTTATTTATTTTTATTATGGTACAGTATGATACGGTATTCTTTATCTATTGAACTTGTATACCATGTTATATTTATTTTTTAAAAAATCTCCGAGAGGTTTACCCATCTCAACAAAAATCAATATATAAAAATGCAAAACCCACATGCAGTATAACTGCAACTGCTAACAGTAGTAATAGTCACTCGACAATCATAACTCATCTTGCAGCCTCCACATCGGTCCATCCGCTCTGTCCTCCTGGTATAGTATAGTTTGTCTCCTGCTTCCTTTCCCAGGGCCTGGAGGAGAATGAACAGACTCTCAGAGTGATTGCTGACCTGCAGGAGCTCGTCAGTCTCAAGGACCCCTCCATGCTGAGCCTGGAAGTACTGGGATTTGTGACAAAATATCCTGATATCAGGTAGGGCACTCAAAGCAAATACACTTTCCCATCTTCCACCACTGCTTCCCCAAGCACAGGATTTGCATTTTGCCCCTAAACAGGAAGCACAGGAAATACAACACAGAGAGAATCATTGTTCTTTTCCAGCACTGTGAGAGCTGGAATTCTTTTGCTTGGAGATGCCAGGTCTTGGATCTGAGGCCTTAGGCATCCCTTCCGTTCTCCAAATTCAAGGCCGAAAACATTTTCTGGCAGTCGCCCCAGCAATAACGCAAGGGTAATAACTCTCCAACCTGCAGTCTAATCTTGGCCTGCCAGGGGGTCCACGTTGGCCCACAAGGCCATTTCCACCAAAGCAATCTTCCTTCAGCACTGGCATCAGGTACCTTTCCTCCAGTGTACCTGAGAACAGCAGCCTAACTAAGGGATTGGAGGGTAGGCCACATTGGAGAACATACAGCTCTGTTGTCCAACTCTCCACTCCATCTGCTTGTGGAGTGGCTGCCTCACTCTTTCTAAAGGTAGGGCCAGTCCTGGTTGGCAGCAGGAGGCCAAGGGAGAGGTAACACGTTTTGTGCCTGTTGTTTCACCAGCGAAGACCACGTTTCCATGCTCCTCCACTTGCGTGGCGACATCTCTAAAGAAATCCACAACAACGTGCTGGAGATCATGGTGAAGAATCCTCAAGTACTGCCTGAGAACTATCGCCCAGTTTTTAGCAACATTTTTGTTCCAGCTCCGGAGCCACCCTTCTGCCTTGGGAAGTCCAAATGTGCCTGATACGTCCACAGATGCTGATACGTCTACAGCTGCATTGCTAACTTTGCCAGGATGGTAGCTGGTGACCTCTGGCAAGATGGAACTTGAGTGGGGATTGAGCCTGTTGTTGTTGGGTTTTTTTTACATTCCAGCAATCCAAAACACATGGTGCCATTTTGTGGGGCGGGGCTAAATTTAGTCCGTTTTGTGTTCTCTCTCCCATATTCACAGCCATGCACAGCCACATGCAGTCTCCTTACCATGTGTGAGGAACCTTTGGCCCTCCAGATGTTGCTGAACTACAATTTCCATCATCCCTAGCCATTGGCCATGTTTGCTATGACTGTTGGGAGTTCAGCAGCATCTGCCAGGCCAAAGGCTCTCCACACCTGCTCTATATTCTATGCAAGATAATACACAGGAATGGTTGTCTATTACGCACCAGTTGCACTAGTTTTCTGTGGGTTGTGTGGTTTTGGGTGTTAATATATGCTCAGATCACATCCACACCCAAACCCACTTATGAATTCTACACAGTATATGAGTGTAACACTTGTGCAGACCAGCTAGTACACTGAAGCCCATCTCTTGTAGCATTTAGAAAAGATTAATATGATTGGCAAATGGCACCAAAGCCAGTTCTGGCCTCTACTCCCAAAAGAGCACTGCTTATTGCATTGTCATTACAAATTATGCAGACAGCGTAATGTGCTTTATCCTAGAACTATGCAAATCATGGGGCACAATCATGGAGCACAAGAGCAACATATTTATCAATTCATGCTTAAGAACTGAATATGCTTGCTAGATAATGTTTTCTAGATAAATAGCATTCAGTTTTTCTTTTCTAAATTAAAGGCATGTAGCCCTTATGGTGAACACGGCACTTAGGGAAGACAGGCTTATCCTTTTTTTTTCTTCCTAGTGCAATGGGAACCAACCACTCCAGCATATCTTGGGCCCTAAACTCCTGGCCAATCAGGAAGGGAAGAGATAAGCCGCCATCTCTTTGCATGCTAGGTTCGCTGCGGGGATTGGGGGGGGGGATTTGAATCAGTTCACATTTAAAGGTGAATCTACCTAATTCGCCCCTTTGCTATCAATATGGGAACCAAAACATAACCATTCATCAAAATTAGCACTTCTCTGAATCTTGCACTGCATTTCTCCAGCCAAGTGACAAAAATGCAAATACTGAGGTAAAGTGTACATAAATAAGTATATATGTTGGTGAAAATAGCATACCAAAGTGCAATATATTAGGGGAAATTGCTTTGCAAAAAAATTGGCAAAACTCCGTGCAAGAGAAATTCACACTAAAATGCTGGTGAATTTTCATGAGAACCTTTTTTATCTTTCTAACTTGCAAAACTGGTGTGGAAATGTGGACAGCTGAACTTAAGACTGGAATGCAAAACTGGGGGAAACCAAAATTAACAGATTCACCCATCTCTATCTGCAAGGATAGAGATAGAGGCTTTCTTAAAATAGAGGGCTGTCCTCTGTAAGGTAGTACATATGGTTACCCAACCCAACCCTGGTGTAAGGGCTGGTTGCATAGTGGCGTAAGTGTGGATGCAAAACAATTCATTTCAAAATCTGTTGAGTACACATCTAGAAATCATTTCTGCTGTCCCTGCAGAGAAAAACAGAAGTTCTTCCCCCCACCACAAGCCACACATTTTGAAAACTACAACGGGAAGTGATGTTCTTTCCCCTCCTTTAACAGGTATAAAACATAAACTTGCATTTCTTTTCTCAAAAACACACTTTCTCATGGGGCCTTTTTCAAGCAAAGGATTTCATCAGCTACCTGCTCACAACACCTGCTCTTCAGGGATTTACCACTACCAGATTCATGAGAAATAATAAGAAATAAAGGTTTGCCTCTGAGCATCTACAGAGTGCATTTCCCTTAACCCCAGCTAACCACGATTGCCTGCCATGTTCCATGTGCACCATGTGAACTTCACAGAACAATGCCACTCCAAAAACAATAGAATGCAGCAAAATGAAAGCTCCATCCTTGGTCGACCCCTTTCTCCTTTCACCACTGGTACATGACCAGTATGGTGAGGGATCTGGAAACCAAATCCTATAAGAAATGTTTGAAGGAGATAAGCGCGTTTAGATTGGAGAATAAAAGATGACAGGGTGACATGATAGTTGTCTTCAAATTCCTGAAGGGCTGTCAAGAAGAAAATAGAGCTGATGTGTTGCTTTAAATTATAGTCACACCATTCATTTAAAGCTCCCATATACACACATGACTTCTCCTAAAAAAACTGGGTACCTGTAGTTTGTTAAGGGTCTCCTCACAACTCCCAGCACCCTTAAATAGGTCCCATGACTCTGTGGGTGCTAAGGATTATTAAAAGGTAAAGGTACCCCTGCCCGTACGGGCCAGTCTTGACAGACTCTAGGGTTGTGCGCTCATCTCACTCTATAGGCCGGGAGCCAGCGCTGTCCGCAGACACTTCCGGGTCACGTGGCCAGCGTGACAAGCTGCATCTGGCGAGCCAGCGCAGCACACGGAACGCCGTTTACCTTCCCGCCAGAGCGGTCCCTATTTATATACTTGCACCCGAAGGTGCTTTCGAACTGCTAGGTTGGTAGGCGCTGGGACCGAGCAACGGGAGCGCACCCCGCCGCGGGGATTCGAACCGCCGACCTTTCGATCGGCAAATCCTAGGCGCTGAGGCTTTAACCCACAGCGCCACCCGCGTCCCATTAAGGATTATTAGAGGCCCACTATTCCTGTCACAAAGCTACAATTCTCAGAGTTCCCTGAGAAAAAGTATTGATTGTTCAACCACTCTGGAAACAGTAGCTCTGTGAGGAGAATAGGGCTCTCTTAACAACTTTCTTAACAAATCACAGTTCCCAGGATTCTTTGGGGGATGACGTGACTGTTAAAAAGTGGCATAATGCCACTTCAAATGTATTGCACATATGGTGCCTAAATCTGGAATTACAAATGCTACATTGCACCAGTAGTATCCTTAGCAGATTTATCATCCACAAATAACTTGGCAAAATTGGGCTTTTGTAGTCCCCCATGGAAGTGTCATATAGTACTTCAGAGAGCAACTTAAAAAGGCTACAGTCCCTTGAATGTCTGTTATAAGCACACTGATTTCTAATAAAGCCTTTGGATTTTCTTTCTAGAAAACATCGCATATTCATATTGGGGACTTTTTCAACCAGAAATGTTTCTTATGTTATGTCATTTAATAACCTGCTGTATTTTTAATAAGATTTTTTTGATCATACACAATACATAGTTTTATTTACACTGGACGGATGCAAAAGGAACAAACCCAAATCCCAAAAGAGAAAAAAGAAAATGGTGTAACTGTCTCAAGAAATGTGATTCAAATGATGTTATTTCTTCATATCCAGTGAGGATCATCTTCTTATGTTTTAATTCTTTTTCAATATATTGAAAGATATGTCCAGCTTTCAGTAAGTTTACTGTTAACTTTTATTTCCTATGTTCCCTTAAATTGAGTTAACATCTGTTTATGCATTCTTAGTATGATGTTGTTCAATTAAAAGTTCTGAGTGGATTATATAGTGCAAGGTGGCTAACAAAAAAATTGATTTAAAGCTTGGCTTCTGGTTGTCTTTGGCTGACAAAGCCTGCTTTTGAGAGCACCTGTCCTCTGGAACATACCTGGCAGCAGAATAAATATCAAACTCTGGCCTGGAACTTCAGAAACAATCCTGCCAAAAAGTTATTCCCCCAAACGGGCTTGGTGGCATGACAACTCTGTTTTCTTCTTCCAGGAATGTAGCACTGCCAGGCTTAAGAGAAGTTATAAGAAAGAAAAGTTTGCCTCTGAACATGCACAGAGTATACTTCACTGAATACCAAGCAACCACAAGCACTAGTTATTCCCACCTTCATTTTATATGCTGTATGCAAATGATGAGAGTTCATGCACAAGGCAATGCTGTTTCATGTTTCATCTTGGGTGACTTCATGCCTACATTCAACAGGAGTTTCCGCAGCTGGGATGTTCCACCTGCAAACAAAACACCGCACAGCAGAGACTGGGTCCATTTATTTTATTTCACGATATTTTAAAGGCACTTTTTTGGAGAAGCCTATTGAAAGTGGTTTATAACATTTAAAAGCCTCACAATGAGTGAACAATAAATAGACTATTTATAAGCAAGCCTGCAAGAAGCCACCCAGAGTGACTGGGGCAACCCAGGCAGAGGGCGGGGTATCTTACCAGCAACATCTTAGACTAGTGCTATCTCAAAGTGGTGGTCCACAGACTGGTGCCATCCATAAGCCATTGCTAGTCCATGCTGAACTCCACCACAGCCCAGGTTGGGTGGGACACTTCAGAGATCAAATGTACTGATGCCTGGCACATTGGGTGGGCAGGAATTGCTGGGTGACTACATCAGATAGTTTAATAATTGCTGATCTCAACAATAATACATCAAATCAATGTCATACCTGTAAGGCTAATATCAAAACAAGGGCTTTTAATATATTATATCAATATTATCTTAGATATCTTATAAAATACAGTATTGTATTATACCAGGTTCCATCCCCCACCCACCTGGTCTTTTAGTAGTAGTAGTAGTAGTAATCAGTGCTTTTATTTTAAAAAAATGTTTAGGGGTACTCTCATTTTCCTACTCATCTTGAAATACTGCCCTTCAATGAGGCCAAACTTAGATTCACAAAATGTTTAGGGGTATGCGTACCCCTGCGTGTCCCCCCCGGAAATAAGCACTGGTAGTAGTAGTAGTAGTAATAGTAATAATAATAATAGTAGTAGTAGTAGTAGTAGTAGTAGTAGTAGTAGTTTATTTATACCACACCCATCTGGCTGGGTTTCCCCAGACACTCTGGGCGACTCCCAACAGAATATTAAAAATACAATAAAACATCAAACATTGAAAACTTCCCTAAATAGGGCTGCCTTCAGATGTCTTCTAAAAGTCAGATAGTTGTTTATTTCCTTGACATCTTATGGGAGGGCGTTCCACAGGGCAGGTGCCACTACTGAGAAGGCCCTCTGCCTGGTTCCCTATAACGTCACTTCTCGCAGGGAGGGAATCTCAAGAAGGCCCTCAGTGCTGGACCTCAATGTCTGGGCTAAATGATGGGAGTGGAGACGCTCCTTCAAGTATATTGGGCTGAGGCAGTTTAGCTTCAGATGTACCGTTGTCACTGGAAATGAATATCACAACAGTTGGAAACTAGAGGCTTCCATTTTGCTGTTTAGCATCAGTAGGACCTTGACAAAAGGCCCTAATGCTGCATTCACCTTCTGCCCTCGGTACCCAAGTGCCAAGCAGGATGGAGTAAAGGAAAGACACCTCAGGCCTGCTAAGGCACATTGCTCTTTACAGATGCATGTTCTGAGGAGGGCTGGAAGGGACTGGGACAAAATGAATATTTTACAGACTTTAATAAGAAGCAGGTAACAGACTGGGGGCAGGCAGGAGAGTTTATGGGCTGCAGTAGACAGACGGAGTTCTCCACATGGGATAGTTGTGAGCAAACCAGAAATGTGGTTGCTATGGACATAGAAACTTGTCAGGTCCAAGACAAGACCCCGAGGGAATCTTTCCCTGCTGCTGCTGCTACTACTATTACCCCCAGAGCTGTTGAAATCCATGATCATGTGCTTACATGGATGAAACTCAGTTCAAACCAATAAGTTTTTGTTATGAATCTGCCCTACCTCTTGGTGGTTGTAGTGTTAGCAGATGTTTCATCAGTGTCTTCATGCAGCTTGAAAAATAACTTGGCAAAACCGGTCCCCTGTAGCTCCCCACGGAAACTCTGTGCAGCAAAGGCATACAGGATGGGGTTGACAGTGCTGCTTAAAAAGGCTACAGCCCAGTGAATGTTTGAGACAACCTTGTCGGCATGATCCAGAGTTTTTGCCACACCTGGGAAGGTGCTTTGCAGCAACAGTGCGCAGACGGTGAGGAGGCTGAAGATGTGGTAAGGGAGCCAGCACACAAAGAAGCCCCCAACCACAGCAAGAATCAGCTTCTTGGTCTTCATCTTCTGATGGAATTTCAGAGTCCCAACCTTCCTTGCCACGCAGGAATAGCAGATGGCGATCACAGCAAAGGGGATCACAAAGCTGAACAAAGTCTCCACCACGTTATCCACAATCTGCTGCCATTGGGCCCCATACACGTCATCTGAGCAATCGCCTTCCACATTCTGGCTTGATGTGAATATCAGAGTTGGAGACGCAAAGGCAACTGCTAACAACCAAACTCCCACGAAAGTTATGTATACCACATGCGGTCTCTGCCACCTTTTGGAAGCAACTGGAAGAACCACCACAGCAAAGCGATGCAGGCTCATCAGGGTGATTAAAAAGATACTGGCGTACATAGTTAAATAGTTAAAGTACACAAGGAGCTTGCAAGAAGCCTCTCCGAAGTTCCAGCTGGTCGCAAAGTCATAAATCCAAAATGGCACTGTAAGCAATGCCATTAAGTCAGCCATGGCTAAGTTCAGGATGAGTGCAATGGTGAATGATCTCTGGGGAAACTTGGTTAGGATGATCCAGAGCACAAAGCTATTCCCAGGTATGCCAGTCAGGAAGCAAGCACTAAGAATCAGGTTTGGAAGCAAAGTGTGCTGCACCCACAAAGTGTCCATCCCTGTGTTGTTCAATCCAGTCTCTGTAGAACTATTGAGAGCCATTGTGGATCTCATTTGGGGATTAGCAGTTGCAAAGAGTGAGTGAGCACCATCTTATATAGAGGTTCATGGTAAATGCAGAGGAAATGGCCTGGGGTGATGCAGTAACACAGCTTCTCAAGAAATTCATGCAATCCATCATATCCTTCAGCTTTCACCTTCTGGCTCTATGTGAATATCAAAGTTGGAATGCAAAGACAATCACCACAAATCCTGAATTCTTATGATGTCGAACTTCACTTTCATACACAAATTCCCATGCCTATTAACCTAGTTATTTAAATAATGATTAGTTACTGCCTTTGATAGCTTTATCCTCTGCAAATCTATCTAATCTCCTTTTAAAGCCTTCCAAGCTAATGGCCATCACCACATTCAGTGGTAGTGAAGTCAGACAAAAGGAAGTACTTCTTTCACACATCACATAATTAAACTCTTCCTCCACAAATCCAGAGTGGAGTTTCTAAGGCATCTTGTATGCCTCCTTCCGGCAACTCCTGCTGCCAAGCTGATGCCAAATGTCTTGTCTTGCTTTCCTTTCCTCTAGACCAGTGTTTCCCAACCGGTGTTCCGCGGCACACGAGTGTGCCGTGAGACATCGGCTGGTGTGCCGCGAGATGCCTGGAGGGAGGCGGGCGAGTCGGGCGGCGAGAGGCGGGGCGGCGGCGGCGAGGAGCCGCTCGGTGCGCAAAGCGAGGGAGGCTGGAGCCAAGAGCAGCGGCGAGCAGGAGGCGCTTGGTGGGAGATTCAGCCGAGCCCGAGCTGCGTGCGCTCCCGAACCTCTGGGCGGAGAAGAGCGTGCGTGTGTCCGGCTTAGCGACGGATCCTCTCACCCGGCGCAGCAGAAGACAACCCTCGGGGCGGAGCTCCTGCCACAGGCCTCCCGCCTTCTTCCCCACGCGGGGCAGAATAAGTGGAAACCGGCGGACGCAGCGGGTTTCTCAGCCGCTGCCCGGGTTGCCCCTCTCTCCTACAGAGCCGCATCCATCCCAGCCCCTCCTGTCATCTCAACCTGCCCGTCTAATTTACATACCATCATATCCTCCTTTCTTATTGATTCACTTAGATTTAGTCTTACATTTCTCGCTTTGTCTCCGTAGACTGCGCGGAGGGAGAGCCAGAGAGAGGCATCGCTCCTGCGCGGCGGGAGAGGGAGCAGCCGGAGCGATGCCCCAAACAAGCTGAATTCCGAGCGAGGGACTGAGGGGGGAGGGAAAAAACTTTCACTTTCGTGCGTCCCTCCCGGCGTGACGCTGCGCGCTGACGTCACAGGGCGGGGCTTTAATGGTGGTGTGCCGCGAGATTTTTTTCCAGTAAACAGGTGTGCCGTTGCCCCAAAAAAGTTTGGGAAACACTGCTCTAGACCACATCAGTGGGGCCAAGAGCCGGGTGGTTCTTGTTGTCTGGGCAGCCCAGGACCTCCACACACACTGCCCAGGCTTGCACCCCATAGACTCCACTCCCAAAGGTGTACTCCTCCATCTCTTGATGACAAACTGGTCCTGGAAGGGATGAGTAAATATCCTGACTTCCTATTACTTCATGCAAAGATCAGCATACTAATCATGTGTTACCAGCAAAGTTCAATTATCAATTCCTGTAAGAAAGCTTCAGACTCTGTACAATAAAATCTTATTCTAGGAGTAAACTCATGATTCAGAAACATACAGAAAGCCAGTCATTCATTTCTAACTAGGGCTATGTCCCTTCAACTTCAACTCGTTAGAGTAAACGAAATGATAAATAGGCAGGAACTAGCATGTAACAAACAATGGTTCGAAGTCATAATGGTGTTACAACATTTACTTACCCATAGTTAACACTGACCAGTTTGTCATGTTCAGATGGAATGACAAGTCAAGAGCAGAAGCAATGGAGGAGGGAAGGGGGAAAGAAACCACATAACCTCACTACTTTGTTCCTATAACTGTGGTTTAATGTTCCTAGAACATTAAACCACAGTTGAAGGTTCTGTTTGGCTGAGGCCACTCTCTTCTTACCTAACACAGATGAAGTGAGAGGGCCCTATTTAAGCAAACATGTGCTCAGGAACCAAAGCAACCTAATTTCACCCAGGTAGAGCTTAGAGTCATGCTCTCCTCATTGTGGGAAAGCTGAAGCAGCCAATCACATCACATGAAGTTTGTTTCCAGTCTCTGAACTTGAGGCTATTTGCTTCATTTCCAGTTATGTCTATAATGTTTTTAAAAAGCAAGTCTGCAGGAAATTTATTAGGTATTTTTATGTGCATTTCTCCCAATAAACAAACTCATATACAGTTGTGCCAAGTATATGCATTTTTGCAAGTTATTTTGTCCTAATAGAACACATTTTTGTATCTTGTTTTGACCAATATACACATTTTTGTATGCATTCTGGAGTTGCAAAATTGCATTGCAAAATATGGAGAAGTGTGAGATTTGAAAGAGATCTGTTTTAGTTTGTATAGGTTTTAGAAGTGCAAATTTTGTAGGTTTGAATTATGAATTGAACTAATTTCTTCCCTGAGGTGAGGAAATGTCAAAAGTGTAAACACTTTGGTGACACTGGAAATTCCTCAGCTCCTTGGTTCAGGATTTGCTGTGCAAATCCTAAACTTAGTTTTGTTTTATTTTCATAAGGAGGGATAAGAAACATAACTCATTCCACACTGTTAACTACAAATATCATACACAACTGGAAGTCTTCCCTCATTCATTCACACACACACACACACACACACACACACACACACACACGGCAACCACCCTGATTTCATGTCTGAAAATGTAAGAGGAAATTATGCTCTTTCGCCAGCTTCACAAAAACAGGAACTTGCATTTCCAAAAATTGCCACACAAACCACACTTCCTCACAGTGCCTTTTTCGGCCAAAGTGTTCCCTTAATTATCTCCATGTGGTCCCTTCTCTTCAGGGATTTAGCACTACCAGCCTCATGAAAAACGATAAGGAAAAGTGCCCCCAAGTGCAGCATGCACAGATAACAGCTTCCTTGAATAGGAGTTGTGGGGGTTTCAGGGATGGGGAAACAAAGCAGGTAAAGCACATTGGGTGAAGACACCCCACTTACTTTCTGGTGGGTACAGCAAGTACAAATGCAACTTGAAACACAGCGGGGGGGGGGAGGAAATGCCCTTGCTGCACTTTAAGGCACTAATGTGTACATAGCCCTAATCTGGGGTAGCAAAGAAATGTCAGATCTTCAGGTATTTTAAGACGGCTAATATGTCCCTGGTAGGCAGTGCTTTTCTTCTAGAAAAAAAAGTGCCAGTACTGTGTACCCTTAAGAATCTTCAGGGGGGAAAGCACTGCTGGTAGGTCTTTTCCATGCTAAACTTACCAAGTTCCTTCAACTTTTACTCAAGCAACTTGTTTCCTGTCTCATAGATCATCTGCACTGCCCTCCTCTAAACCTATTCTGTTTTTAAAACAAATACTTCTTAAAGTATCCAAAACTAGACATAGTATTCCTGCTGGGGCTCAGCTAGTTCAAAATAAAGTGGAATTTACCTGAAGATGGCATCATATCATCTCAGCTGCTATCATCATCATCATCATCATCATCATCATCATCATCATTATAATTTATATACCACCCTACACCCAGAGGTCTACCCAAGATGAGAAAATAAGTTGTCAGCCATTCCTATGTGTCATCATTGTTTATTTGTATGCTGTTTTTTCATCATAGATCATGCTCAAAGCAGCTTACAATTTCAAAAAGTTTACATAATTCACGAGCATTTACAAGAGAGAACAACATGTACCATAAATAGTTATATAAACAATAGGCTAATGAAAACACCTCTTATTAATAAATATACAATAAGATGAAACAATCCACTGATAATTTTTAGTGAGGACTAATAACACCCAAAATAATACATCTCCAAAATTAAATCTTGACCCTAGCAACAATCACCAAGCAATAATACCCCATCTCGAGGACTTTCGGCAGCAGCAGAAGCCGTTGATGCTCAGGGGTCACATAATTAGTTAGTTATAACTAGGTGTCCCATGCTGCCCTCCCTGTACCATGTGTTTGTGTATCTATGTGACATATAGATAGATAGGCACAAACTGCAAACATTTTAACACCAACCATTTAACTTCTGAATGATAACTTTATCATGCATTAGTTCCCATTCCATCCCCACCCCCTGCTGGGGAATTCAAATTCTTGTTGCAATCAACAGTGATAAATTAGCACGATAACCAGAAAGTTGATGTTTGCATTTTCACAGTTTGAAAATAAATTTTAAAAACAATATATATATATATGAATTAACTCAACATAAGTATTGTAAGAGTATTGCTGCTAACTGTGCCCTTATTCAAAATACTTTCAAAATTTGGGCTTTAGCAAAGGAATGCTGGGATAGCAGGATAGCCAAAACAGATTCCCACCAGACACAATAATATTTCAAGGTGATATCTCTGGTCAGCAATTTCAGTTCTGCAGCAATTTCTGCCAGCAGAAGGTTGACTTGATTATTGTAAGCACTGGAAAACTTCAGGAAAGAACCTGCCATGAGTATCTTCTATCTTGGGTACCCAAGTAGCCAGCAGAACTAGGGATGGGGGGTAAATTCAAATCATTCACATTTAAAGATGAACCTACCTAATTTGTATCTTTCTGAAAAAAATACACGAAGTGAAACACAGCCATTTAAATCTGCACTTCTTCCAGTTTTGCAATGCAGTTCTCCAGCCACGTAATAGGTACAAAAATGCAAGTGCTAGATGAAAATGTGCATATCATTGCTTATATTCGTGAAAATAAAACACCAGCCTGCATTTTATTGGTGAAAATAGCTTTGCAAAAATGTGTATATCAGATTAAAATGCATACAAAAATGTAGCTACTAAGAGAAATCCACGCTAAAATGCTGATGAATATTCATGAGGACTTAAAAAAAAATTAACTGATGTGGAAATGTGAAGAACTGAACTTAAGATTGAAAAAATGGGAAAGTGGGAGAAACTGAAATTGATAGATTTGTCCATCCCTAAGAAGGACTGAGTAGAGGTAGCACATCTTAATGCAGCCAGGGCTCATGGTTCTTTCATGGAGATATTGTGAGGTGTCCTGGGCAGAGCAAAAATGTAAGCAGGCAATAGCCTGGATACAGGTAGGAAAGTTGCATGGATAGAATAGACATCAAGAGTTCTCCACATTCCAAAGTTGCTAATGAACCACAGATAAGGTTGTTGCTGCACACAAAAACTCTCTGGGTCTCCCTCAGATTGCCAGGTGCCACAATAGCATTGTGTTGGTCTCACATCCATTATTTTACCCCAGCAACCTCTGAGGTTCTTCCTTTGCTTATTAATATATACAGAAAATGCTCGTATCAGAGGAGGAATATTTTAGTCTAAAGTTACCCCCTTACTCCCCTGGAGTTACAGAGCCTGCACTGAAGCAGTACCTTCTCTAGTAAGTTTCTGCTCTGTGTCTTCCTGCATTTTGGCAAATAATTTGGCAAAATTGGTCTCTCGTAGTCCCCCACGGAAGCTCCGGGCAGCAAAAGCATAGAGGATGGGGTTCAGGCAGCTGCTTAAAAAGCATACGGACCCATGAAGGTTGTTTAGCGCTTCAGTTGTCTCTAGCAAGGCCTTTGCCTTCTCCGGTTGAGCATATTTCAGCAACAATGCAGAGATTATGACGAGATTTAAGATGTGGTAAGGCAGCCAGCACACAAAGAAGGCACCCACCACAGCTGCAACCAGCTTCCCAGTTTTCATTTCCTTGTGGCGTCTCAGTGTCCGAATCCTTCTCATCATGCAGGAGTAGCAGATGGAGAGAATAGAAAACGGGATCACGAAGGCAAACAAGGTCTCCAGAACATTGACTGCAAGGCGGTGCTCATCCGAGAAATACATATCATCTGTACACTCTCCAACCTTGTTCTTGGTCGATGCCGATACCAGAGTTGGGCATGCAAAGACACCTGCCAGCAACCAAACGGCCAGCAACATCCTGCACACCACATGTGGCCTCCGCCACATTTGGGAGGCGAACGGAAAGACCACAACGGCAAAGCGGTGCAGGCTCATGAGGGTGATGAAGAAGATGCTGGCATACACAGTTAAGTAGACGAGGTAGATGAGAAGTCTGCACATGACATTTCCAAAGACCCAGCTGTTGAGAAAATAGTAGATCCAGAATGGTGCTGTCAACATGACCATTAAGTCTGCCAAGGCCAAGTTCAAGATGACATTAATGGTGAAGGAGCGCTGGGGGAACTTGGTAAGAACCGTCCAGACCACAAGACCATTCCCAGGCATGCCAACCAGGAAGCAAGCCCCAAGGAAGAGGCTTGGAAGCAAGCTGGCCTTCACCCATGACACCTCTGTCACCGTGTTGTTCCCATACATCATTGTAATATTGGAGGGAGCCAATGCAGAGGTCAGCCTTTGCAAATAGGTGTCAGAAAATGAGTGAAACTACAACACCAGTGCAGAAAGGAAATGACTGGGGCTGATGCAGATGATGTAGGTACATTACCACATTTTCTCAAAATGTTGGTAAAAGCCAAACATTGCTTTTGAAGGGGGGCTTCCCCTTTCTGTTCTTGTACTCAAACTAGGACTACTCAACTGGTTTGCAACATATGTTTATGCTAAGTACGGAAGCTCTGTCATTGCAACCTACATGCTCCCGGAATATGTTTACCTGGGTACAAGGAGGAAAGTTGCTTGGCTAGGATAGACATAAAGAGTTCTCCACATTAGAAAGTAGCTAATGAATCACAGATAAGGTTGTTGCTGCACACAAAAACTCTCTGGGTCTCCCTCAGATTGCCAGGTGCCACAACAGCATTACCTTGGTCTTACATCCATTTATTTTACCCCAGCAACCTCTGAGGTTCTTCCTTTGTTTATTAATATATACAGAAAATGCTCATATCAGAGGAGGAATATTTTATTCTAAAGTTACTCCCTTACTCCCCTGGAGTTGCAGAGCCTGCACTGAAGCAGTAATGTCCTTAGTAGATTTCTCCTCTGTGTCTTCATGCATTTTGCCAAATAACTTGGCAAAATTGGTCTCTCGTAGTCCCCCACGGAAGCTCCGGGCAGCAAAAGCATAGAGGATGGGGTTCAGGCAGCTGCTTAAAAAAGCTACAGACCCATGAAGGTTTGTTAGAGCTTCAGCTGTCTCTAGCAAGGCCTTTGCCTTCTCCGGTTGAGAATATTTCAGCAACAATGCAGAGATTATGATGAGATTTAAGATGTGGTAAGGAAGACAGCACACAAAGAAGGCACCCACCACAGCTGCAACCAGCTTCCCAGTTTTCATTTCCTTGCAGCGTCTCAGTGTCCGAATCCTTCTCATCATGCAGGTGTAGCAGATGGAGAGAATAGAAAACGGGATCACGAAGGCAAATAAGGTCTCCAGAATGTTGACCACAAGGCGATGCTCATCTGAGAAATATATTTCATCCGTACACTCTCCAACCTTGTTCAGGCTTGATGCAGATATCAAAGTTGGGCATGCAAAGACACCTGCCAGCAACCAAACGGCCAGCAAAGTCCTGCACACCACACGTTGCCTCCGCCACATTTGGGAGGTGAATGGAAAGACCACAACAGCAAAGCGGTGCAGGCTCATCAGGGTGATGAAGAAGATGCTGGCATACACAGTTAAGTAGACGAGGTAGAGGAGAAGTCTGCACATGACATTTCCAAAGACCCAGCTGTTGAGAAAATAGTAGATCCAGAATGGTGCTGTCAACATGACGATTAAGTCAGCCAAGGCCAAGTTCAAGATGACATTAATGGTGAATGAGCGCTGGGGGAACTTGGTAAGAACCGTCCAGACTACAAGACCATTCCCAGGCATGCCAACCAGGAAGCAAGCCCCAAGGAAGAGGCTTGGAAGCAAGCTGGCCTTTACCCATGACACCTCTTCCACCGTGCTGCTCGAGTGTGTGTCTGTGATGTTGAGAAGAGCCATCCTGTGCCTCCTGCAGAGCTCAGCCTTTGCAAATAGGTGTCGGAGAACGAGTGTAAGTAGAGCTCTAGTGCAAAAGGGAAATGACTGAAACTGATGCAGTTTGTACATAAATTACCACATTTTCAAAAATGCTAAGAACCCAACATTTCTTTTGAGGTGGCTTCCTCTTTCCTCTCTCTTTTGCTCAAACTAGGACTTCCCAGCTGTTTTGCAATAGACAAATATGGAAAATCTCTGTTATTCCAAGTCACACGCCAACAGAGAATGCATGCCTATTACACTCAATTGCTAAAGTGTTGAGAAGGAACCACAGTATGCTTTGATGTCCTGGCCGTGGTCGCACTGAAATGCTTTGCAATGGCTTTTTAGGGTGAAAAGAGCTGCTTTGGAGTGACACCTTAGGCTACACCTTCACCTTACATTTAAAGCAGTGATATATCACTTTAGCAGCCATGGCTCTCACCAAAAACTCCTGGGAACTGTCATTTGTTAAGGGTACTGACTTGTTAGAAGAACCCTTTCTTTTCACATAACTGCAGTCTTAAAAGTGTTTTAATAATCAATCTCTCTTCCCAGTGCTGGCAAGCTCTCACCACTTGGACACGTGTGGAGCACAGAACAACACTTTTCTTCAGATAGTTCTATAGCTGAGCCAATAAGCACGGGAATTAAAAACCACACACCCAATTCTGAATGTTGTGTTTCTCATTCATAAAGAGACAGTTATGAGGAATAGATACTGTTGGAGGCTTTGTGGGTCCTGGTGCGGAAGCGTTTTGGTCCAGCACCTGCACCTAACACAAGGCTAAATTGGGCCTTCTGCTATTATCAGCTCAAGGACACACAGAGAAGTGCAGCTGCCAATAAGCTGCTTAGTGCAGATGAGGAGCCCATATAGAATGAGGGATACCAGGAGATCTGATGTTCCCTTGGGGCACTAACTGAAATGGCTTTCCTGTGGACAGCTGCTGCCTACCTAGACCTGCCTGGCACTATCTGTGGTGAGTAATGCCAGTGTACCTATCACCAAATCAGGTCTGTGCCACCCGTGGTTTTTGCTTCCTTCCTCTCCTTGGGTAGTGACTGATGGAGAGACAAGATAAGCAGCTGCAGTCAGGTCACAGTTGAGAAAGGTGCCTGAGGGAGCTTGTATTGCAGCAGAGCCAGTGGAATGGCCCTGCTTCCAGGGGTGCCAACATGAATAAAATGGGGGGGGGGGTGAGCCCCACCCTACATAAGAGTGGAATGGCACTCTTTGTGTTGTTCTTGTAGAATTCAGCAGGCAGGAGAATATGGACAAAGCCAAAGTTAGTTGTCTCTGCTTGCCACTAGCTCTGGCTCCACCTATGGTTGAGTCTTCCTGCCCTCCACCCTATCAGTCTGAATGGGCACCAGGCACCACTTTGCCTAGCCTTTCCCTACCTGAGGTTGATTTGTTTCAGTAGCAAGTGGCTCAGCTGCCAATCTACAGCAGGTGGATCTACCCCTGGTGACAGTAAGCTAGTGCCAGCAATACTGGGCCAACCGTATCACCACATCTATGATCTATATGCTGCGGGGACTGGTGCTTCCTCCTGCCAGGTAAAAGTGCTAACTCAAAGAGAGTCAGAGATACTGAGGAAGCACTATGCTGAAAGTGTCTTTCTCCAAAAGCATGTGCTAAGCATTTTTTTTCAGATGAAGCACCCATCCATGTAGCTTAGCTTCTCACGCCACACAGCACCTACGAAGATCCCAATTGCCTCCATGTGCAGATGCGGAATACAACAGTCCAAACTCTGGTGGCATAGATTCACATGAAAATGTGATGAGGACACAAGAAATCTTGGATTACAACATCTATTTTCTCAGGCATAACTTCTCACACTTTCAGTTTGTGGCTATGTATTGGAACTCTACTGGGGAGTGGTAAGCTCATGTGATTTCTGCTGGATTGAACCAAGGTTCCATTTTCAACAATCAGTTAGGTAGATGCTGCCGGGAAGCTGACCAATTTAATAAATAATAACAGTACTGTAATAATAACTCACCAGTCTTTCATTGTCAGTAAAAATACCTTTGAAATACACATCATACAAACCACTTTGCTCCAGTCTCCATCCGGGGGGGGGGGCACATACAGTACTCCATCCTGTGCTCAGCGAGTAATTGATATCCCAGGAGCAAGATATAGAAATATCAAACAGATGCAGGTGGAAGAAAAGCAGAGGAAAGATTAGGAACGTTTGCTATCCTGAGAGGGCTCCCTTCATAAAGCCTGAGCCTGAGCATCCACTAAAATGCACATAAAGGAACCAACATGAAAACATTGACAATGTATTCAATAAAGCAGTCACCACACCGCACACCCCAAATGAAATACACTGACCACTTAGTGAGGATCAACACTTTACTGAATACTTTTACAAATTTAAAAACAGACTGAATACACAAAATAAATAATTCTATACACTAATTTCAACATTACAGGTTAATTGCCATGTATCAAATCACACTCTAAAAAAGTAGAGATTCCATAGTGTAAAAAATAAAAGAGGCACCTAAGGCAAAAATCACAGACATGAATACTTGAGACAAAAAGTAAAATCTCACTGTCCCATTGAGAACAGGGAGAGAGAGATTAGGAACAATCTTTTTTGGCAACTTGCGTGTGATGAGCAGGGGGTGGGGGAGAACGTCTGAAAAGTGAAAGCGAGGTCCTTAAGACCTGCAGTGGAGGACTTCCAAGAAGCACTGCAGGGTCAAAAGTGAACCATTCACAGGACAGGGGAGAAGATAAAGGCAGGTGAAGGCCAAGAGGTGGCGCCCCCCAGTCCAAAGGCCACCAGACCGCAGGCAGCTTGGAAAGTAGCTTGCTACTAGCCAGAGACAGTGTGTCTTACACAGTGCAGTCCTGTGCATGTCTACTCAGAAAGAAGTCCCACTGAGTTCAATGGTGCTGACTCCCAGGTAAGTGGCTATAGAACTGCAGCCTTGTTTATTTAAAACAGTGGTTTTCAAAGTGTACTCTAAGAACCCAGAGGTTCTTTGAATACTTATTAGTGAGAAAAATCAGTAGCGGCAAACGAGCCTTTCCCAATAGGCAGCTTGCCCGTCACTACCAATCTTTCCCAGCAATGCATAGCCAGTAGTAGGTGTGTTGTGTTCTAAGGCATTCTACTTTAGTACAGGTTAAATGGCAACACCCAACAAGGCCTAACCAGCAGCCATTGCTCAGGGCATGCCCTACAAGCCCCAGAATCCTCTGCAGTGTGCTGGGGTTCTCTGGTGGGCAAGCAGGGAAGGGTTCCTTTGCAGACGAGTTGGGCTAGAATGTACACTGCAAGTGGAAAGCTTGAAATCCCCAACTTTATAAACAACCTTTCATTACATGCCACAGAGGCAGACGAGCAAAGATGAAGCAGAAGAGAAGACCGAGTGATGGAAAAGCAGAGACAAATGGATTTTTCAACACAGGGGCTGCCCAACCAGAAAGCAGGGCACCTGGTTGTTTCGGATAGCCACCCTCAGTCAATTAATGCACTTCACATTCTTTGCTATGTCTCTGTTAGTGGGGGACAAATGCTACAGCTGAGATCCACAGAACAGTGTCAGGCTAGAAAGTGCCCAGTGGGAGAGTTTTTTATTTTATTGCTCCTCCCTTTGAACCGGAGGCCCTTGTGTCATAGCAGACTCCCAAGTTCAAAAACTGTCTGTAGCAGAGCATGGGGGAAAGGGGGAAACAGAAGTACGACAAACACAAACATGGAAGACTAGTTGATGTGCATTACTAATTGTGCAGTTCTTTGGATCTTGACTCAGGGCTGCAAGTGAACCCTGGATTTCTGAGGGCAGAGACTGATTGCTTTAGATAAATAAGGCACTGGTTGGCAAATGCAGCATGAAAATTGTATAAGGCATTCAGAACAGGCAACTTTTCAAAAGATATGGAAAAGCTGCATAGGCAGAATGATGCAACCGAGCCCCCTCCTTCCTTCCTCTCTCCACACACACCTTTTTCTAGTGCTCCCCCAGGCATTTGCTACTGACAGATTTTCAGAGGACCATCTCAGCTGTCTCATTCATATTTGGGTTAAACAACATGGTTCACAAACACGTTTCACTCAACTGCAATGAAGACAATCCCATACTTTTGGTGTTGGTGTGTGTCAGAGAAGAATGCAGCCTCAGCCAGGGCATCCCAGGCCACTGCTTGGCCACCAAACCAGAGACTCATGTAATGGCAGGTTCAGCTGTCTGTCTGGTTAGCCGAGGGCCAAAATACACATTATGGCAGCTAAAAAGTGCCATGTTGCCTTCACTATCTCCCTCACATGCCATCACATCAGGGACTTCCCCATCAGACTTCTTTCCTTATAAGGTAGCAATTAGATGAGGACAAAGGACAGCTCATGCAGAAGTCTGTGCTTCAGTCACAGTATATTTCAGTAGCAGTGGCATCTGCACTCTAAGAAAGGGACCATATAACTCTTCAAAAGATGAATAAAGTAATCAGCACATCAGAAATAAAGACCAAGGGAGCTTCCAGATGGGGGTTTAAAACTGCTCCACATCATCAGAGAAGGAAGAAAGGAGGACGTGGAATGGGGGGGGGGAGGGGAGAGAGATTTATTCCTGCAGATTGTGCTATCTGTAGCAACTCCATTATTATTTCATAAAATTTATATATCACTCAATTGTAGGGAAAAAACCTCAAAGTGGCTGCATTACACATGTTGCTGTCTCCCCAACCTGGTATCATCACAGGGTTGGCATATCTTCCATCTGGCTTACCAGTTTCAGGCATGCTCCATGGCCAGGACCAGTGGTTTTTTTTCTGGGGGGATGTACGGGTATGCATACTCCTAAACATTTTGTGAATCAAACGGGAAAAGGAACTAGTTTCTTCTTTTTTAGTTTCTTCTCTAGCACGGTGAATCGTCAGTTCCGTTGCTACCCCTGATAGTGGCCTCATTTCCTGTCATGGTGTTTCCTGAGTCTCAGACAGAATGAGAATACCCCCAAACATTTTTAAGGGGGGGAAAAAGCACTGCCTAGGACCCAAAATGACCATGCAATGAATTATCGTGCGAACTTTGGGAGGCTCTCCTTTATGACTGAAGACCTCTGTGCTGGCTCAACAAACTACTCCCCAAAATTCTTGGGGATAGTCTTCAATGCTGTACAAGGAGTGGAAGACACAGGAAAAGTTGAAGATGGAGGGAACACCATCTGACATGCATGTGGAAATGGTTTTGTAAGCCTAAGGACCTCTTGAATCCCACTCATGTAGGAGCATACATGAGTCCAGAAAAAGAAAAGGAAAAAACTCCATTTGGAAGCATCCCAATGCACCTCAAAACAGAAGCACCGCAGCTTAGAAGGACCAAGCCAAAAGGTTCCTTTGGAAGACCCAGCTCTTCCAGATTGTTACAGCTGGCCATCAGAGTTTGCTTAGTAAGGCTATGAGGGCAAGGAAGCCTCTATCCACTGTGAGTGTGGGCTTGGTCCCATATGGAGTGGGGGACTTCAAAGCACTAGGCATTAATGATTGGGGCACTGCCTTTATTGCAACAGAAACTAACTTTCCCAACACAAGAGAAGAGATATAGCAGATGCTAGCCTGTCCCCTTTCTGATTAAACTACCCCAAGGCCCTTTGTCCCAGCAGAATACACCTCCTTATCCCTGCTGGCTGGTGTTAAGGCACAATGACACTTCAAGGTACTATCCAAAGGGGCAAGGGGAATTTTGGAAACCAGTAGGAGGAAGTCATCATGAAGAATCTGCTGATACAGAAGGGGAACTCCTGTACACGGAGTACTTGGAAACCAGTAGGAGGAAGTAATCATGAAGAATCTCCAGGCTCAAAAACGTGAGACATTTCAAATGGCACAACCCAGTTAGAAGCTGCCTCTTGTCCATGATACCCCTATCGCCATTCCCAGTTATGTCTCTGGGGTGAGTCCTCTCTTATCAACAAAAACGTCACATAATCTGAAGCTGGCATTCTCTGAAGTGGCAATCATTGACCTTATCCCATTCCACAGTGGATAGGTGGGTTTTGCACCACTAGATCCAAGATGCTGTATGGGTTGGTTTGTTTTTCACACAGTATTGCTAAGTTCCAATATATTTACAATATTTACTGTTCCAACAGGGAGGGAAGGGGTGGTATAAGATAGAGACCAACGTCAACATCTAGAGACAATTCAGTACCCAAGTGTTGCCATCTTGTTGCTTTTTGTTTTTAAGCAAATGCACACAATGAATCCGGTTCACTGGCATGAACTCTGAGCAGGAGAAGCAAAAGCATGGACTAGGAGTTCTGCAATCCAGGACGGAACAACAGTGAGGTCATGTTGTCATTTTCTTTTGACCTACAAACTTAATAATTCCTTAACACAGAAATTTCTCACTGCCAGGGCTGTTGAACATAGACACCTCACATTTGGCAATTTCCCCATCGCGTAACAGAAATAACTGTGGGGGAAAGTGTGAGTGAGTCTAAAGGAATAACCCTCTATGAAATTGGTGTCCTATCCAGAATAGACAACTGGAAATAGAGAGACAAGGCAGAGACCTTTACCACTACCACCCATGCTGGGGTGTCTCCTGAAGCAGTCACATGCACACCACAAAAGTCAATGGAAAGACCAGTGTGCCAGCAGTAGTGGGCAATACTCACTGGTGACACATAAATAGCAGGTGCATCTCCAACTGCAAAGTAACCTAAGTGAAACCACTGTATGAGATAAAGCCAAGCATCAATAGGAGCCTGGTTACTGACAGAGAGAGTATGTTGGACCACTAGATGTCACCCTGGGCTGAGAAACTGGTTCTGCATAATGTACCTCTAGAACTACTGCAGGAACACATGGACATGAATCAATCCCACTGTAGTGGATTAAAGCTTCTTAAGCACACAAGCTGTGTGTTACATTACTTTTCCTATGTAATGCTGATGTCTCAACAAGGTGAGGACAAGGCAGACTCACATCCTTACTAATGAGCGATTCAACATCACAGCTACTGTAGCACCATCACTCCCTCCCTCTCTGTCATGGGGAAATGCACACTTGGGAGCACCCAAGGGCTACCCCACTGCAATGGTATCACTCCCAGACACTTCGTACACCTTTACTCTTAACACCTCCACTGAGTCACTGTTCATTGGGACAGGAAGTGCCTTTGTAGACGTCAATAAAATTTAACTGCCCAAAATGATATGGCCACCTGCCTACCATGACTGACGCAATGTCCTTAAGCTGATGTCTGACAATGTATCCTGACACATTAACCAGCACAAGAGAGTTGCTCTCAGAAACAGGATGTGCCACCAGAGGCTGGAAGTAGCTGGTTTCTGTGAAACAGAGCAGCTGATGTGAGGGCACAATGCCAATCATGAACAGGACAGAGAAATATTGATTTAAGGTTGGAAACTCCAATAGCTGCCCTTTTTTCTTGACCTTCTCTACTGGGGTGAATGAAAGGGCAGAACAACAAGACTTGCTCCTATATCCCAAATAAATTTATCCCACCCCCAGGCCATCCTATTATTTCAGGACTCTGGTACCTCATTACATCATTTTGCTACACTTTTAGATAAAAGTCTAACTGGAGACAGAAAATCCCTACAGAAACACGTTGTCTCTCTGCTCAGACTGGCTACTGACTCTGGCAATTTGCTGCTGTAATAAGCACCAAGCTTGCTGTCTAGATTTTTTTCATATTACTTAATTCAAGAGGCAGCTCTGGTGTGAGCACCTGATTTGCTCTCTGGCTCTTTATTTGCAGCACACTAAAACCAAGGGAAAGTGGGTTAATCCGGGGGGGGGGGCATGCAGCGTAGATTATCTTTGGGTCCCTTTAAGCTATGTGATTTTATGATTCTAAGCTGCATTGCCTGCACCCCAGTGTGCCAGCTGTAGAGGCAAGCACAGCAGTTGTTTGAACCCACTCAAGCCTTTAATGAGAGAAACAGACTTTTGATGTCACCCCTGTGATGAGAGACACCCCCCCCCCGGTGTGTGTACAGGTCAGAAGAGGGAAGAAAGCTGTCTGATGTCTCCTCAGTCACTTGCAATGTTGCAGTACTGAGTCACACATCTAAGCACTGATTGAGTCAGAATGATGACCGGGTTTCCTATAATTCATTCCAGCATTAAGTGGAAAGATACAACAGAGAGCAAGATAAGGCTCCAAAATAGTGGGAGGAAAAGCCATTCCCAGCCAACAAAATTAGTGTAGTTAAGGCACAACCATTTCTCCGGCCTTCAACACACAGGACAGTGACAGGAGCAGCACTAATTCTGATTTCCTCCAACAAGTATCAAAGGAGAATTTGGTCCCCATTTCACAGCTGTATGGATGGAAAGCAGCCATTTAAGTGCAAAACCAAGTGAAAACTGAAACTGTGAAAGTGCATAGCCCAAGATTCAGAGAGCTGTGCAAGGTGTTCCACACATGCACTGGGACTTATAGGCTCCCCTTCCCCCTCTCTTGGGTGCAGAAAACCCCCAACTGATGTCACAAAAACTTCTGGGGCAATGTCTGGTGCAGTGCAAAAGGCTGCAGCCAGAAGAGGAACTCAGTAATCTCCTTCTGCACCTGTGGACCCATGGGGTTCCATGATCCTGATTTTAACCAACAGCCTAAGTCAGCAATAGCCAATGTGGTGCCTTTCAGTTATTGCTGGACTCCAACTCCCATAAGCCCCAGTCAGCATGACCAGTCAACAGAGATGACGAGCTGTAATACAACGTTTGGGTGGTACCATGTTAGCTACCCTGGCCTAAATCATCCCCTCCCAGACCCTGTAGCAACAAAGGCTGGCTAGATAAAACTTGGGAGTCAATAAATAGGAGTAGCAAAGATTCTTGGCTAGGGAAGGACTCTTCTGCGTGGCTCCAGTATTTCAGGCAACTAACTGTAGACTTTTTTTCCAGGGCTGGGCCAAGAAGCAGGATTTTCTAATCCCCTGACCCTACACAGGTGAGATGTGCTCCCAGGGGCAGCAGCATCCCTAAAGCTCCATCTCCCAAGGCAGGAAGATGGACATAGGAAGTTGGGCTTGGAGAGAAGAGGGCTGGAGCTTGGGGCCCCCTCACTTAGTGAACACAGTGCAGAACATGTCCCAATGACAAAGAAAGAACAAGCCAGGCAGCCTCCTGCTGAGTTGTCAGCCATTGTACTGCTGCTGGTAGCGCAAGTTCAGCTCTCGCAGTTCCCGCTCCCGTACCCGCCGGGACTTATTGGATTTAGTGGAGCGGCTGGAGCGGGTGGACTGGGCTGACTTGGTGCTTTGGCAACGAGATGATGCCCTCTTGAGGAGGTTCTGAGATATGGAGCGGTGCAGGTTCTTCATGGAAGAAGAGGCAGCCATGCTGACCACCCAGGGGTGCTTTAAGGCTTGAAGAGCTGTCATCCGGTCACTAGGATCCACTGTGAGCAGACGGTCAATGAAATCCTTAGCAAGATTGGACACGCTGGGCCATGGCTGAAAATGATAAAGAAACAGGGGGTGGGGAGAGAAGAAAGCATTAATTCTAATGTTGGTAACAAACAGACCATCCCACATTGGAGTAAGAGTGACAATGTGCAAACAGTCTTGTTTTAAATAAGTGTGCATTCCTACCACACTTGCTCTGGCAAGTGGAAGGAACCACATCACTTGCCTTGCCCTTGTTATTCCTTCACCCAGAGCAGTGTAAGAAGCCACAGATGCTGATGTACATTGGCAGGTACATGGCTGGAGACTAATGGATTTCAGGGCAGCAGAACTACAGGGGCAGCAAACGTATGATTAATGAGCAACCATACTGCTACATCTCTTAATTAAGTTTTGTGTGAAAAGTCAAAAGGCATTTACTAATACTTGGGTTTTCAGTATTTGCACTCTGACAGAACTTCAGAAAAGTTCTAAACATGCTAAATCAATAGTTTTAAAAATCAGTTTTGGTGTGTGTGAACACTTTCACGTATTAAGAATCTTGCTGGATTATCACCCATATCTCCTGAAATGGGTTTTCACTGTTTTCATTATGCTTTTTTAATTGTTTGTTTTATTGTATATTTTAATTATGGATCTTTTAATGTTATTGTGTATTTTGATTCTGATTTTATAGTTGCAAACCACTTAGAAGCCATTTTGGCATGTAAGCAGCATATACGGTAGATTAAATAACAACAACAAAAACAACAGTAATAATAATATTATTTGATTCTCCATGCAATAAATCCTAGATATTATACAACAATACAGAATATACAGTATTTCCATAGGTTCACAAATTGGAGGATAATTTCCCCTTCGGTGCTGCTTACAGTTATTTATTTATTATTTAGCTTTCGTTCTCTTTTTGATACAGGAAGCAGGATGTCTGGGGCACATGTGTGCTTTTAGGCAGATATAAATAAATACACACACATATATATACTTTAATGTGCTAGTGCACAGTGTATTGAAACCTCTAAAAATAAACTCCTACTAAAAAATTTAAGCAACTCTTGAATAAGGAACTAGGATCCCAAGTAGACAACTGGAAATAAATTACCACCTTCAGCCTTGACAGACGAGTCAGCATTACCAGTCCAGTTAAGTGGAGCTAAACAGAAACAAACTCCCAAACAAGAGGGAATTGGATTTCTTATGCTTTCAATTACTCCCACGCCATCAGAAATGGGGAGTACAGAGCACTAGTAATTAGAAATCTCTTCTGGTCAGCAAACACAAATCGGTTTATTGATCTGTTTATGCTGCTGCAGGTTTCACCTGCTGTACTGTATGTATCTTTGGCTTGATTTAATTAAGCTACCCTCCTGAAGCAAAAAGGAAAAAAAGAGTATATCCTGCTGAGGTTATAGCCAAGATGAGTTTACCAGCTTCTTTGTCAAGTTCCTGACAAAGTTGATCCATTTCACAGTACCACATCAGCAGGGTTGAACTTTGATGGAAGAACGACATCAATGGAAGCGGGGGGGGGGGTAGGGGAGAAATCATTTTTACAGTATAATCTTTCACTTCTCCCTTTCAGATTAATAGAAATTGAGCCTTAAAGTAACTTGCCCAAAGAGGGTCGAAGTATACATGATATTCACCACATCTTTGAAGCCCTATGATTGGGATTCTCTGCCACTTAAAAAAAAAAATCAAAACAGTAAATAGCAGATTCTGAGGGGTGTGTGAGGGATTTTCAACACAAAACAGTGATGGATAAAATGTTAAGGTAATCCTCCCCCAACCAAAGTCCCAACCTGGATCAAGACTCTTGCTGTTCTGCAAACCTTATGAGGAATGATTGAGGGTGATGTTGGGTATGTTTAGTCCGGAGTAGAGGAGACTGGGAGGAGATAAGACAGCCATTTTCAAATATCTTAAGGGCTGTCACAAAGAAGATAGTGCAAGCTTGTTTTCTGTTGCTCCAAAGGGTAGGCCCTCAATGGATTCAAATTACAAGCAAGGAGATTCCAACTAAACATTACGAAGAACTTTCTGATGGTAAAAGTTGTTTGGCAGAGAGGCAGACTAGCTCGGAATGTGGTGGACTTCCTATCATTGGAGGTTTTTAAGCAGAGGTTGGTTGGGCACTTTGCAGAGGGTTGGACTAGTTTACCCTTGAAAATCCCTCCAATTCTGTAATTACAGTATATGAAAGGAAAATCCCAAGCAGAGAATTCAAAAAATATTTTTTTCCTTCCAAATTTCAAATGATCAGCTAGGACATGTTCTGCTTATAGAAGAAAGTCATATTTCAATATCATATATTCCAGAAACAAATAATGATACAGCATTAACGTAGCAAACAACGCAGGGCTACTGTGCGTTTCATCCACATTTTTTTTTATCAGGCAGCAAGTAAAGGCCGCTTGTTGATGCAGAGAGAATGCAAGAATGTATATCTGGAGCTCCTGAACATTAAGTGTCTTCCTCCATCAGCCTGGAAAACGCTACAGTATGAAAAGGGTTTAGCTGATCAAGGTGCCCATTACTGTGTTTGGTTTGTAACTTGTGGCCGCTTATGTGAGTCAACTGACATCACTCTTTACTATATATGTGTATGATAAGACACAAAGAGTGCTAGAAGAGAGCAGTTTGGTAAAATTACAAACCATTCTCATACAGGATCAGTGGTTACTTTCCCAGCATGAACTTTCACTGAAATTATATTTGAAACCTGCTTCTACTTCTTAGAGGTCCAATATTGCTCTATTTGCAATCCTTGTTTTGCTGATTTCATTTAATATTCTAATTTTCTTTCTGAGATTGTTAATTTGGGATTTTCATCAGCCTGTTAATTTGGGATTTTCATCACAATTATAACAAATAAAGGCTTGACATATCTCACTTTGCATGTCATGAGTCTATCTCATATATTAGTTTCACATTTTAAGTTGAATTACTGAAATAAATGAACTTTTCCACGATATTCTAATTTTCCGAGTTTCACCTGTATTAATAAATCGGAGGAAGCATTTCCATGTAGCACAGTATTTCAGTAAATATTAACAGAAGGGACGAAATGGACCCCTTTTCTATGCTGCTGGAGGGTGGTGGTGGGGAAATGCTTCCAGTCTGCAAATTCTACTAGCCACTTGGTATTTATTTATTTTGTGCAAGTTAAGATAATTCTGGGAGTTAAGTAACAAGGCTGTATGACATGCTTTCTTATGCTCACCTTAAGAGCTAATCACGTGAGTCCTTCTTATAGGTAAACCAGTATTAAGGGAAGGACTATAGCTCAAATGGAAAGCATAAGCTTGGCATGCTGAAATTCTGAGATTCATCCCCTAACATCTCCAGGGAGAGCTGGGGAAAGACTCTTGCCTGAAACTACAAAGAGCTACTTGTTACTAGTCAGTCTAGCTCAAGGGTAGTCAACCTTTTTATACCTACTGCCCACTAATACATCTTTCTTGATGGTAAAATTTTCCTACCGCCCACCAGTGCTCAATGGAAGGAGCTTGTGCCATAGAACCCCCTACCGCTCACCTAGAATCCTGAAACGCCCACTAGTGGGAGGTAGGGACCAGGCTGACGATACGATACGATACGATACAATACATCTTTATTGTCATTGTCCCATAGAGAACAACGAAATTGAAAAATCTACATAAGACAACTCCTGGTCTAGCTGATACTGAGCTAGATGTACAGTTGTACCTTGTTTTGTGACCGGGATCTGTTCCGGAGCCCCGGCCGCTAGCTGAAAAGGACGCAGGGCAAAGTGCCATGTCTGCGCACGCAAGCGGAGCGGTTTGTGCTTCTGCACATGTGCAAAGAGCAATTTAACGCTTCTGCGCATGCGGCAAGCCCAGAAGTAACTTGTTCCGGTACTTCCGGGTTTGCCGTGGACGTTCACCGGAATGGACGCTAGACGAGGCGGACGTTTGTGGAGGTATTACTGTATCCTATGTTCCTATGACAGCTCAAAGCTGCCCTCAAGTACATGTTTAGATGAGCACATGGATTCTGCGTATCTGCATTTCATTGAACAAAGCCAGTCTGTGTCTTCCTCCTGTATTTCCTTTCTCCTATAATACATTTTTATTTGGGGCCATACTCTTTATAAGTCCAACAGCAAGCTCCCCTGAGCTAGACTGAACTGCAAGTTCTCTAGTTGCTGATAACTATTGAAGTAAGAACATAAGAAGAGCCTGCTGGATCAGACCAACAGGCCATCTAATTGGGCTCTCCAATTTCAGTGGCACCCTGCCTCTCATGCTCTGCTCTACAGCATTGTTGTGGTGCCCCCTCCAGCATGGTACCCAGTGTGGCTGCACCAGTCTCATTACCCTAAAACCGCCTCTGTTACAGTGGCCAATCAGATGCCAATGGGAAGCCTACATGAATGACCTCAGCACAAGAATATTCTCCCCTCCTGCAGTTTCCAGCAACTGGAATTCAGAAGCATACTGTCCCCCAACAAAGCCATTGTGGTTAGTAGCCATTGATAGCCTTATCCTCTGCGTATTTGTCTAATCCTCTTTTGGAGCTATCCAAGTTGGTGGCCATCACTGCCTTCGTTGGAGTGAATCCCATAGTTTAATTGTATGCTGTTGTGAAACATGTCTATTTCCTTTGGCTCAGTATTAAAGGCTTTATTGTGCAACACCAAGTCTGTAGTGCAGACAGAACCACAGCCTAGTATAGAGTGAAAGCTTGTGAGGAAGAAAACTTTTGTAATGCCACACTCTCTCGGATTTCTTGAGGAGGCAGTTCGATTCATCACTAAGCCCTGCTGTGAACTAAATGCTAGGGTTACTTTACTGGAAAGTGGATTATAATCTTCCACAGTGAGACAAATGAGTTAATGTCTGTTGTAGCAAAGGGAGCTTTCTGGATAGCAAGAAGAAATACACTTCTAATCCTGCAATAAGCTTCCAAGGAGCTGGTCTTGCCACCAGAACTTTCTAATCTTGTTTTTAATCTTACATTAAGAAAGATTAAATAAAATCTGAACCACTCATCTAGCTTAAAAACATGACCAAAGGTTCTTG